CAGGACTGCGACATGCTAGCTAGCAGTGCTCGATCGACGAATGCAGGTGCTCTATCTTGAGCTACCGGGGCTTTTCTCCTTATGATCGTTTGGCCACCGCTTAAGTGTTTAAATGCTGATAGGTGAATTATCCTTACTTTTGAGTTCACTCGAGATCAAATTGTAAGGCTGATTCACCTAGCAGCATTTATAACGCTTAGGCGGGGTAAACGATCTAAAAAGGAAAAAGAGAAAGTAATAGTCGATGCCCCGGTAGCTCAATAGTAGAGCTCCTGCATTCAATCATAGTAAAATCATTTTAAAAATAACTAACCTGTTGAGCTGAATTATATACAGATGGACGAGCTGAACTGTTTCTAACTGAATCGTATTCAGAAGGACGAGGTGGAGACTCCAATGTCTAAAAAACAATACAAATTACAAAAATTTGCATTGTTTTCCCCTTTATATTAAATCAGATTTGTAGAAATTATTTGATTTAAATTATATTTTACACTAAGATTTATTTATTTTTTCATGATTTTTTTGTTTTATCGCTCACTTAAAAGCTAAAAACAATTAAAATTACCTGTTCGGGATTTGTTGGATTGAGACCTCGATTGTCAATATTTTGACGCCTTGCGTCTAATACGCTTCTCATATGTTCGTTAGTTAGTTGTGTACGAGCAAAATTGTTTTGTCTAAGCATTAAATATCTGTCATTACGTTGAGGTCCCGCATCTTCAATGTTTCCCTCGTTTTCAGTATTTAACTCTCTGCGACCACCAACATAAACAGTAGCTCGAGGAGGGACTATTAGTTCGTGAACAATCGGTTCGTGAACTATTGGTTCGTTAACAATTTGTTCGTGAACAATTTGTTCGTCAACAATTGGCCTGACCTAAATTATTATGCATAAAATAAAACAGCACATTAGTGGATTATGGAAACGCAATACACAAATAAATAGTATACAGGGTGCTAAGCCGCACAAGTTTAAAGTCTCTGCGCCACTCTCTCACCCGAGAGTTGGACTTAATTAAACTCAAAGAGGTGCGTGCTATTTGAAAATTTTTCTTCAAATTTTTATTTAATTCTCTATCATTTGATTGTATTTCGATTTTATTTGATTGTGTTTTAATAAAGTTATGAGAGAAAGCATGTGTCCAATTACTTATGCCGCACCCTGTATCTATGACATTTGTATGCACAATATGACATTTGTATGTCATTTAACGAAACTTCCATAGCTGTATTTCATGCTATGAATGATTGTAATCACCAAAAACAGTCATTTAAAAATCTTTACATTATGGTTCCTGCGCGGAGAATTCCGTTCGCCTCTGAAACATTTACCAAACATTCCTTCAACATGGCTTGAGATGAAGCCAAGTATCAAAATAACGAGAATATTTTTTAACAATAACATTATATGTTTGCTATCCTTAATTAATAATATTTAATATTATTTAGATGTGAAGAAACTTATTTTGTTTTTATAACTTAAATCTATGAAATTTTGACTGAAATATAAAATTTTTCAAACAATTTTAAATGGGAAAAACATAGGAGAATAAATGAAGAATAAAGGAGGAAGTAGGGATATTTATTAGCCTTTGACTCTTAAAATCGCCCACGAGAATGCATTTCCGGCCACCTACGCATTCATTGTTTAAAAATTTATTGCAAAATTTTAAATTAATTTTTATTTATAAAAAATTATTATTGCATTTTTTTTAGATTTTGCAATTAATTAAAGAAATTAAATATAATATAGAAATTAAAATATTAAAAATACTATTTATGTTCCGAGTTGACCAAATTTTTGATTGAGTTTGAATAAAGATGGAAAGAGTGCCCCAATTGCTATCCTTAGGGAATTTAATGTAATTTGTGTCTAGGTTGAATTATAGAATGGTACCAGCATACTTCCATCTCACTTGATGAACAAATAAACACGCCATAAACTCGCCATGTATGTAAATATCAAAAAGTGAGCGAATTTGTAGAAAAATACCTTCAAAAACCAAAAAAACTTGTAAGCAACTCTTGAGTTAAATAGACTTATTCATAAAAAGATTATTTTGTAAATATAATCTGAATCTGCTTCGAACTCTGGTGATGAATAAATGAAATATCAGATGTATTATATGTAATTATCTGGACAATTTGTTCGGCATTGTCCGGTATTGAAATGGTATTAGAAAACCAACTAGGGTTGGAGCCCGGTCCGGTCTGTTGCGAAAAGACTCGATCGTTCTGGTCCGATAAAAATGAAGCCCAAAAAATAATTCGAACGTCAGCCCACTCGAAAACCTCAGCCCTAGAATCAACTACCAAAAATATCCATTTGCTCAACATCAGTTTCAATGCATTGCACTTGTCCAAATTAAATTCACGTGCCGATTTTTGTTTATTAAATTCACGTTGTGGATGCACTCTATTTATTTAAATTCAAAGAAAATTTCCCGCCATGCACTTTGCTAATGAATGCCCTTGCTAAAAATTAAAATGCTCGACAAGTTGCCCTTACAAAAATCAGTCAAAACCTCGCAAATTTTCATTTATTTTTACATTATTTAATTAAATCTTATTAATTGAAAATTTTATCTGTTTGATCTTTTTTGAATTGACTTATGTTGCTACACATTTTTATCCATAATGCTTTAATCACAAAGAATTTTAGGATATTACATATTATAAAATTTGTTGGAAAATTTAAAATGTCAACAATGTTAATTCACCTCGTTATCGCCTTATTTTCCTTGAATATTGTTTCCTCTATGGATGATGAGTTTGGACAAAGTCATGGGAATAATAGACAAAGCTTTGAGGGATTTGATATGATCGGCCATCCGAAATATCCCGGTTTTGGTTATCCTTATCACAATGACGACCAAGATCCTCCGACCCCTAGATTCTCAAATTTTGTTGAATCTGTAGGCAGTAATGTAACAGAATATGAATCAAATGCTTCGGTAAGTTGAGTCGAGTCGGGCCGTACGAGTCGTTTTCGGGCCAAATATCTTTGTAACCCTATTTAAAGACGAATTGTCATTATGATTTTCCCGTAAATTCATCAATTCCACCAAGAAAGTACATAACTTATTTTTAAATTAATTGTTTAGGGAGCAAATGTAGGTTCTGGACATAATTTGCAAACAGAAATACCAGAATTCGAAAAACAAATGATCTCGGTAATTGATTCTGATGAAGAAGAAATAGCTAAAGAAGAATTCCAAAGAACTAAAAGTTTTAAGGAAGAAAGTTCGTCTTCTACTCTAACAGAGTTATGAGTTTAATTTGTTAAATTAATACTAGAGTTGGCCGGGATCGGGATTTTGGAATAATGATCCCGATCCTGACTGCAAAATCGGGATTGGCTGAAATTGGGATCTAGATTCAAAATGTCGGTGTAATCCCGCTTGATCCCGACCAGGAGCCCGATCCCGGCCAACTCTAATTAATATGAAATAATACATATAACACAGAAAATATAACAAAATATAAAACATAAGTTTAGGTTTTACTACCCCGAATTTCTATTACAAATTTTAGGAAAATTTATCTGAAGCATTTGCTAACATGAAAACAGAACACTCAACTCATTTTGGTAGAGGCAAAAAGAAACATTATAGACATCGTCGTGATGACAGTTTGATGCTTGATCAGGGAATGGATGATGAACTTTCATCTTTAACGGATAAAAATCATAGAAAGGGATTTTATGTGCCTAAATCAAATTACTCTACTGAACAGTCTAAACATGAAATGCAATCGAAGCATTTGAAAAGGGGAAAACAAAAAGAGCATCGAGGCATTAATTCGCTTACCGATGAAAGAACGATAAGATATAATGAAAGAATGGATAATAAACTTGAATGCTTAGAAGATAGAGAAGGAATTCATGTGTCTGAAATAAATCATCCTAAGATGAAACGTGGTAATCCTGAGATGCCAAAAATTATAAAGAAGGATCCATTTTGTTGCAATCCACTTTGAGTTTCTGACACTTTATGCATATCAGAGGTTGGTCGGAAATGACAAAGGTGCTGGAAATCGGAACTGTCTGAAATCGGGGATGGCTCAAAAGTCAGAACTCGGAAGTCGAAAATCAGCCTAAATTTTCGGAAATCGGAAGGAAAAAAACGTCGAAAATCGGAATTCCGACCGACCCCTGATTAATATTTATAATTTAGGATTTTAAAATTTTAACTATTTTGTAATAAATAAAATATTTCATTGATTGCACTTATAAAGTGCAATTATTTATTAATAATTTTGCCGGTGAATTTTGATTCTCGCACTTTAATCAAAGAGATCGCCGTCTAATTTTTTCAATTTTAATTTTTAAGAGTGCAGGCAATGTAAAGCCTTGTATTTTTAAAGTGCAATTGCACTCTACATATGTTTAACGATGTATTTAAGAGACTTATAAATGAAAAAGCTATTCATTTTTTAATTTCATTTTTTATTTACCTTAAAAATATTACATATGTCCTTATAGTTATAAAGGTCTTGAAGCTTTTCAAATAATACTTCAAGAATTGCTGCGATTTATAAAATTTATGCTTGAGCGTCGAGATCTGGTTTAAAAGTATTCTACAGAAAGAATTTGCAAAAGTTTAGCCATCGGGCAGGATTGAACCTGCGATCAGTTGTTGCTAGGCGCTTTCGCTTACCATACATATGCAGGAGCTCTACCTCTGAGCTCCTGGGGCATCGACTAATGCCTTCTTTATCCTTTTTAGATCGTTTAACCCCCACCTATGCGTTTTAAATGCTGCTTGGTGAATCATCCTTACACTACTTAAATTTTATAATAGTTCAACAAGATCTTGCGGCATTGGTGATTTTACTGATAGGCTTTGCTTAGCTTTACAGATGCTTTTCCATTTTCTCTCTTTTGTAAATATTTATTCTGGCCTACAGCCTACAAATCTTCAAAAAATAAAAAAAATGAGTTATAAAATTCTAAATTTAGTAGAAAAATCTTCCTTATTTCTTTAATTTTCTTCATAATGTTTAAAAATATTGTATGTAATATAATTTACTTCACGTTGATATTCAATTTTACTTTTTCAATGATAAATAATCCGGTTGATGATAATAGTAGAAACATTGTTAATAATAATCAAGGCGTTGGGACTCTAAGTTTTCGAGGCCTTAAATTTGGAAAGACTCAAGATTTTGGAATGATGGACGAAGATGAAGAAGAGAGGAGTCAGAAAAAGAGTACATTAATATCACACCAGTTAATATGACAACTAATTCATTTAAAGCTAGGGTAATTCTCAAATTGAAACTTTATTAAAAGAGGCTTGTCAAAATTTTATCACAGAAAGCTAAAGTTAAATAATGAAAAAACAAGACGCTTCTTAATGTCAAAGCGATAACCAAAAAATAGATACATAACTCTTAGCTAACTTTTTTAACCCAGAGGTTTGGTGGTCCTGATATCCGAAAATTTCCAACTATCCGCCAACCTTATTACTAAGGTCTGAATGTATTAGACCAGAATAATATTAGTTCGGTTTAATTTTCAATAACTTTATAGAAAGGTACACCAAGCTCATCATTCAAATCGAAAAATGATTTATCAAATTCGTTCAAAACGACGGTAATAACACATCTCTTTAAACTTTTTTCAATTTAATTTTCAATTTTTTATAGGAAGGTTCATCAAGCTCATCATCCCACTCAAGCTATCGTTCTCGCAAGTCGAAGGATAAGCATTTGGTTGGGTATACTATTAAGGAAGGTACCGGTTATGAAGATGCGTATGTTGCTTATAATCCAAAGACACCTGAAAGAGCTCCTGGCAAACACTATAAGTATGACATGAATGAAAGTTTTAAAAAGAAGAATAATGATTGTTGTATTATTCTTTGATATTCCTGAGATTTTTTTATCTTATTCAGTAATTTTACTATATTTCTAATTTAACATCCACTAGTTGTGGTCAAACTTGTTCACTAATTTATTCAAGTTCATCTTGTATGTAACATCTCTTAAAAAATTTAACATCTTTTCATAAAATTTTTTAAATTTTCCTCAAAATATTTACAAAGAGTAAAGCAGCTGGGCTATAGCTATTTCTCTCCTTTAGCTAGTGCAAAAGGTTAATCCTCAGCTCGGAGCGAACCAGCATCTTCAGTAGACCGGACCGATGTATTAGCCATTACACAACGCCGCCTACTGCACAGCTTTAGGAATTAAATAGCTATATGCTTTACAAAGCATAAAATTTATTTTAAATAAATACAGAATCATTAATAATTTAACCATAAAAATTATCTTTTCTGGCCCCAAAATTTTGTCAAAATATTTTCACTTGTCTCGCCAGGTGGTGTAAAAGCGAATGAAGAGTATTTATAGGGAGGAGTTGATGAAGAATTGAAACTTTTTGTTCGTGGTATCAAATGTTGACGCATATCTTCACTAGCTTCATTTGAAGGCGAAATTCTAAGAGTACATTAATTTTAAAATTAACGCTGTTCTCAAAACAAATGTACCTATATCGTAATCATATAATGAAGAGCTCATGGCAAACACAGCGGTTGCCATGAGGTAGCGATAGGTAGCCTGTGGAAACTCCGACCAACTTAAATATTACACTCACACGATTTATAAGGAGATCCTACCGATTACGGTATATTGTCCCTTATATTATCTTCAATTATACTTACCCCATTGAAGAACCGACAGATGGAAGAATGTTTAATGAATAGCGCCGAATTGTGTCAGATCGAAATTGAATGTCTTGAGCAATTTCGTTTGTATGTTTGTTTCTAGTTTCTAAAATTTCAAGGTTTAATTAATGAGTTGAATAAATAACCTGGTAACAGAAAGTAGACAAAACAGGTACTTATTGCACTCACAATTATGAACGGTAGGTAACTTGCGGAAACGCCGACCCACTAAAATATGATTTATTAAACTTATCAATTTTGGTACTAATATCTTTAGTTCGATTAGAGTTTAATACTGAATTTGCTAAGATTCGGAAATCTTGAAGCAAGTTATGACTTTGCGCCGTTATGGCCGCGTGCTTACCTGGGCTGTACCCTGTTAAATGTGTAAGCGACAATGAGGAGCTTGTACATCTCAATGAATAATAAGATCTCAATTAACGAGATTAGGAACCAAGGGCTTTAATCCTACATGGAATAAACAAGAATGTTCGTCATCTGTACCTGTTTAAATGGTAAATAAGCTAGCGATATAATAAACACAAGGCTCCAAGCTACTGAAATTGCTATAGTAACAGCACTTGAACGATACTATAATTAATATGTCAAGTCATTAAAAATGTTAATAAACTTTAGTTGGAAATATTTCGCTCGCAATCATCCAAGGTATTGGACTTCCAATTCCATAACCACACATGTAAGCAAGCAATGCGACAATTGCACCATAACTAGCCAGCTTTATCTAAATTAAAATGAATTTGATTTATACTCTCCGAAATATTTTCAAAACAAATTCTAACGTTATAATAAGCTTGTGCCCATGTAAATATGCTCATAGCCGTTAACGAAGCAGTTACTGTACTCAGCTGGAAAAGTGATAATACTCGTCGTCCCTTTCGCTCTATAAGGTGAACGGATGAACATGCAAAAAGGAAGTAAATTATGCTGATCCCAAGGGTGCTGAAGCGTGCAATTTGACTAAAAAATAAATTTTTAACTTATAGTAAGTTCCGACTGTTATAAAGGCTTACGGCTCGAGGCCAGCATTTAAAAACATATTAGTAGAATAGGCAAAAATCGCAGCTGCACCAGTAAATTGTTGGGCAACCATTACCCATACACAGATTATTAACGGCATTCGTAATTCTTTGCTTGTGAATAAATAGGAGACGGATATATTCTCATTGGTCTGAAAATGTTTGAATTAAATTGGATTATTAAATACTAAGTAAATCTGATCACTCACATCAGAATTGGCTTTCTCCCTAATTAGATCTTCATACATTTGTTGACCTTCATGAACATCCACTAATCTTCCAATATCGTTTAATGTTGCAACTCTATCTTGTTTGATTAATAGTGAAAACTAAAAAGTATTTTCCTTATTCGAAATAATTCTTAAACCTTTGGACTTTCTGGGCAAAATGGCAAAATACAGCAGAGCAAAAAGGCCGTTATGCCTGGAAATCCAAAAGCTATAGGCCATGTTTCGTCTCCACCAAATACCTAACAAAAACTTTATCAAAAAAATTTATTATTAGACCTCAGGTAATGCTAATAACATCGAAAACCAGTCAGAAAATGCAACAGCAACCTTGAAACCAAGCGTAGATATTTATTGTTAATATTATTATTTACCATATGGCACGTGCCCGCAGATCCTCGATATTTCGTTGGGGTTATCTCCATTAAATACATTGGAACGAGACCAGATGTAAGACCCATATTCACTCCAAGTATTATTCGGCCAATAACGAGAATCTTAAATTAATTAGGCTTTTGTACTAAATTTTTAAATCAAACCTCTGGAGAGGATAATGGTTTGGCAAGGTATTCCAATAAAGCACCGATTACATTAAAAATTCCATTAAATATTAATCCGTTCCTGCGTCCTAATCTTTCTGATAATGGCCTAAAATTATTCTTGAAAGACTTGTAAATTAATTTAAATTAAATACTTTGTAGAAAGCGCTCCAAAAATAGCGCCAATGGCAACGCATGAAACAATCATTGACCATACCATGTTCAACTCTGCTTCAGTCTTTAACTCACCGCGCGAAGAATATGTTTGATTCAGCCATTTTATGAGCGTACTAATTTGTGATTTAATTTATTATTTTAAATTATTAAATTTTGATTCTGCTGTTCTCTATAACCGAGATTTTGAACTCGATCTTGTTCCCCTAGTTGTCACTATCTAAACGTTATCCACCCGAACATATTTACCCGAACATTATTAAAAAATTGTCGTTGATGTTTAATTTAGAGATCGGCCTGGATCTGAATCCAGACCTTGTTTTATCTGGATCCAGGGTCAATCTCAAAGCATCTTTCAATGTTCCTCAATTTTTCCTAGACGTAATTACGTACTTATAGGGTAATTATTAGGTCTAATATTTGATCAAGGTCCTCGATCATAAACAAAAAAAGGATTTCCGATCTCTAGTTTATTTTTATTTTTTAAATACCCACGTCTGAGCTGGATTAATGACATCATATCTTAATAAAAGTAATCATCATTTGGAAAATAATTAAATTATACGTATAAAATTGGGCCGATCCTCCAATTATTACAGTTAAAACGGACACATAATAAGTGAATGTAAACATAATTTTATTTATTACCAACTGTGTAAATAAATGAAAATTCGGCAATAGGCAACAAAATCAATTTTGTCTGATAATAGTGGGAGTAATTGGGCAATAATAGGGGCGATTGTTAGGTCCGCAAATTTTATCCGCAAGTAAAAGTAAAAAATCTAGTGATCAAAGGTCATAAAACCAAACATTAAATTTCATTCCACAGTGAATAATTTGAATCTGAACGTTCAAAATTTTCACATTTAATTCATGACAGATTTTACTTGTTTATATTTAATGTTTCTTATCAGTTTTAAGTCGAGAAACCACTAAAACGCATAAAAATGTTCCAAAATTAGATTTTAAATATAAATTTGGTCAAAAAGGCAAAAAATTATGTCTCGATAGGTCTTTTTTCGAAATTGTAATGATAATTTGATTAAAAAAAGTAAATTATTATTATTAAACTCTAAGTATAAACACTTGACAACTTAAAATCTGCTTACGATATTAGCAAATTAACAAGAAAAATTCATGAATGCATAATATATAATAGTTGAATAATTAAATTTCAAATGATAGAGAATTTCGTAGGTTTGGCTTCTCTGCCAATTGCATAAATACGGTTTTGAATGTTTTCTGAGTCAGAGATTTAAGAACGAGACTAATTTTTGAACATGTAGAGTCTATCAGCTTAACACTAATTTAATAATTCCACGGAGATAATAGAATGTAATTAAAAAATAACTATCTGAAAATTTATACAAAACTCGAGAAAAGTCAAATCTTGATGTGAAATAATAGTGAGAAATAGTCGTATAATTATGTGCTTTTTGAACCGTGACATTTTTAAACTGTGCCATTTTCTTGTGTTCTATAATTAAAAATGTTAAATCAAATTTATATTTGATTATGTGGCTCATAGTTTCCTACCTACCTTAACAATGGAGTTGTCTCATCACAAGATCGAGTATCCTTTACTGGTTGAATTCGCATTGGTGATTGACCGCTGGTTAGTGATCTGGCCCTCTGTCGGATTTCCCGAACAATATCCATTGCTTGTTTGCCTCGTGTTTCTATAGAAAATTGGAAAGGCATTTAATTGCTAAAGGTTTAAAGAACCTGGTAAAACCCAATATACAAAAACAGCTCCACATCCACTGACAATAATGAAAGGTACATAGCTTAATGAATTGCCAACTAGCTAAATTAAGTTATCTTTTAATCAGTCCATTGAGTAATAACAATCTTAAAATTACCTGTTGAAAAGGTAGATAGCACGTCGAGACAACAAAGGATAAAGACCAAGCAACGGAAACCGCGACTAAAAGGGTTTAATGAGAACATAAGTTTTAGAGATAAATCTACCAGTAATTGCAGAAGCTCTGTATTTGGTAGGAAATAATTCTCCAGTTATTAGCCATGGTACTGCGCACCCAATACCGTATACACACATGTAGAAAATTAGGGCACCTATGGTTGCATAGCCAGCCCAGAGATGCTAAGTATAAGGTATTTCAACTATTTCTAGTTTCTATGCCAAAAATTACCCCTCCAAAATTCTGTAACCACATAAAGAAGCTGAGAAGAGTGAGTGATAACGAGCACATTGATAATTGAAACTTAAAAACATGTGAATCTCTTAATTATAAAATATTTACGATCAAGAGAATTCGCCGTCCGGCGCGTTCAATCAGAAAAGGGGCAGTTAATGCAAACAAAAAGTACGCTATTCCAACAGCTAAAGTGCTGAATCTTGCCATTTGACTAAAAAATTGATTTTACATTAATTTGTTCTATTAACAGTATAAACCCTCTAATTCCTGCATTCAAAAACATGTCTGTCGAATAGGCAAAAACGGCAGAACAACCCGTAAATTGTTGAGTAATCATTACCATAATAGAGATTAGTAGAGGTACTCGAAGTGAACGCTCAGTGAATATTTGTTTGTATGAACCTGGGCCTTCCTGAAATAAGGTTCGAGTGAAATTATTTATCTTAGAGATATGGCTTGGACTCACATTAATCATTATAGCTTCACGTTCCAATGCTTCAAACATATATTCCGCCTCATTATCGTCTACAAATCGTTTTAGATCTAAGACTGCCTTTGAAGCATCTCCACGCGTGAAGAGAGTAAACTTGAAATTATCGTGTCCACAACTAAATTTTTGGTTTCTATCCATACCTTAGGGCTTTCAGGACAAAATGGAAGAATACAACAAAGCATGAGTGCAGGAATGCCTGGGAATGCAAATGCTAGAGGCCAACTTTGCGTATTTCCTAGAATCTATATGTACATTAGAATTTTTGATAAAAATTGTCTAAATATGAGTTAAGATTTAAATTCAATTCATCACCTCAGGTAATCCAATAAAGAGCGAAAACCAATCAGAAAATGCAACTGCTACCTTTAAAGTTAATAAGGATTTTTAAACTAATGTTGCATATGACAGACCATATGAAGAGTGCCAGCCGCTCCTCGATACTTTGTGGGAGTGATTTCCATTAAATACATAGGCACTAGCCCTGTCTTAAAATTAAAAAAGTAGTAAAAATCGAGAGTCCCATAATAATGACCGAAAGTCCCATTACTGCTCCAAGTACCAGTCGACCGAAAATTAGCAACTCAGGCGATGCCATCGCTTTTGAAAAGTATTCTAGTAAAGCACCAAATACATTAATCCATCCATTGACGATGAGTGCATTTCGACGACCAAGACATTCAGACAGACGCATAAAATAAAATTAGATTAAAGGGAAACTTAGAAAATGAGACTTCGGCTCATACAGTATCTTCTCGACCTTATCTCCCTTGCACCTTGTAAATAACTTTAAATTCCCTATTTTTAACAAATTTTACTAAAAATTTTCTCCCAAAATTTTGTACCAAATTACGCGCAATCAATTTTCCCAAATATTATTACCACTTTCCTCCTATTTTATCAGTTTTTTTCTATTCTTTGGTGCATAATAAAAAGTTAGCGTTGAAATATTTAACAGAAAATGATTTCTGGCAAGAATAGAATAAAAATTTTGTCTATTGATATTTTAATTTCAACGAAATGTTAGCTAAGAGGAAGTTTGATTTAGTAAACATACATAAAAAGTCATGTGAGTTCCGTGAGGGTTAGATTTGAGCTTAAGCTTAACCTTAGCAAAGATATATTTAAGAAGATGCCTACCGGACTAATAAGGCACCAATAATTGCGCCAATTGCCACACTAGAAACGACAAACGACCAGAAAATGTTCATGCCAGTCAAATCTAATCCTGCCCCATTCCTTCTGATATAAGTTTCATTAATCCATTCTGTTAGGAGCTCTAAAATTGGGTAATTTTCACTTTTATATTTGGTCATCTCAAATTTTATAAAACTAAAGCTAACCCTGTACAGGATTAATAATCCCAAAGCTGTAAAATTGTGTGCTTGCCCCAAGGCAAACTGTAAAGACAGAAATATAGTAAGTCGTATGGAACATTTTAGCATAAAATTGAAGAAATTCAACAATAAGAAATATAAACTTAGTTAATATAAATTAATTTATTTTTGAAGAATACATATTCATAACAGCAATTCAGAGCAATTCATATATTAAATATAATCTTAATGGAAATCGAATATTTAAGTAAAAGATTTTTAATTATTATATACTATGTACATATAGGTAGAAAATTACATAAAATTGCATTAGAAGCAATTTCTGATAAGAACGCATAACAGGGAACTTGCTTTTTCGAAGAGACAGACAATAGAGTCCATAAAACAAAATTTTTATCAATGGTAATAGTAAAAAAATTACAGGAACATTCGAGATAAAAATTGTGGACTAAATTTTCATAGAAAATGGGGCTTTAGCTACATAATTTTTCAGGGATCATCATTTTAGGGTAGAGATATGTTTAAACAAACGGTATACGATGAAAGGGATTGGTAATATACTTCGGCTGAACCCCCTCTTTTCCCAATTTTCTCTCGTTTTCTAATTTTCTCGCTCTTAAACTGAGTTGAATGGTCCTATAATCAACGAAGTATCCTTATAAATACAAAGTTATGACCATTTGTTTTAATCCCTCATAGCGGTACAAAATAAAATAGACAGGGAAACAGTAAAAAGAGGGAGTTTCAGCAGAAGTATAACCAAAGATTTTTACAAAAATAAACGATAAACCGGCATCGCTCACTAAGACGCTCATGACTAGAATTTTTATATCTGAAAATTTAAAAATTTTCTTCCATAGTCGGCTTCAATTGTTTTGAGTTGGATTTTTTGAAAGGCTTTTTTACAAGTTTCATTAAACCTTTAACTGGATCCACTATTGTTCGAAGCAAATGGCGTGAGATAACTTCAGGTGTTCGTTGTTTAGGCAATATAACTTTTGATTTATTTGAATGTGGCTTGTCAGTTTCCTCATTTGATCGTTTAAAATGGTCTAAAATATGTAGAATATTAGTTAGGGTTTGGTAAGATTAGATACTCTATTATTAGACTATTATCTTGAAAAACACATAACCAATCAACTCAGATTTCACCTGTAACACCTTCTAAAAATCTCAAGCTTCAATTAAAGAGAAATGGCAAATTACTTTTTGTTACAAACGGAGGTGTCCGAGATTTAAGTAATGTTGACGTGCGATAGAATAGCAATTTATCCGTTGTAGAAATTAACCATGAAGGCGAAGGGAATGTAGAGCTGGAAAAGACGGCGGAGATCACTGACTAGCCCCGCTTATGATCCCACCTAGACTGACGCATCACTGCTTTTATACTATAGTGATACCACTACACAAACTTTTAAAAGAAATATATCCTACCGATTGGTTTTGTGTTTATTGATAGTTTTCGAAAGCTATTGCGCATACTATTTATTGATTGTATTCGAAAGTCTTGTAGATTGTTGTCAACTTTTTGAGTTTTTGTTTCTTTGAAATAATCTGGTGAATTAATATAGATTTAAAAATTATAGCTAATCTTTTGACTGGAAGGCTCAGTCAGTTTTACTTTGTTATTAACAAAACCATTTAAAAATATTGTTTTAGACATTATTTCCAAAAACAATCACAATTATTACATATGTATTAATGTTAATTCAATTAAGTTTTTATATAACCTACCATCATCATCTGGAACATGTTTACCATCAAAAAAGTCCAAAGTTTTGTCTGATAATTTCTTACTACGGTGAACGTCATCTTGTTTCGGATTTATAACGGCAATCGTCTGACCATCAGCGTCAGTTTCACGTTGATTTTCATTGACATCACTTGCGTCATTATGCTGAGGAGCTTCAATATGATGATGAACTTCATCAGCTTTCTGATAATCATTGGGAACACTTGGTTTAGGATCTAAATTTATTCCTAGTTAACGAAACATCACTTTCATCAATTTTTGAGTTAAATTGTTACTTAAAAACCTTACCATACTCCTTATGTGACGAAAATTCACCAATTGTTATTTCTATGCATTGAATTGTAAATAGAAATAGAATCACTAATTTGGTGCAGAACTTTTTATCAATAAATAACATTGGTTACTTAAAGAAAATTTTTTAAATAAAATCATACCTAGTTAAGGATGGGGGAAATTTCCGATTTGGAGGTTTTAACAGTATAAACTCAAAAATTATATTCACAACAAAATTTATTAACAATTATTCAATGTCAGACAGCATTATGAATGATGGATTTATAGAGACTGGTAAGAAATTGGAAATTCGCGTGGAAGAATGTATAGATTTTTAATCATATGGAGGAATTCAAATGTAAAGACTTGGCAATAAATTCAATAAAAAATTAAGACATTAAAAATTAAAACATTAATTGTAGTTGTTAGATAGACTCAGTCGACTACAGAATGCTTTGCGATAATTACAGAAATCCCTTCAGGAATGACCCTATGATAAATACCTGAATGCCCATCATGGAAGGGCTTCTATTTTCATAGTTCAACTCATTTCATTCAAAAAATGTCCGAGTTAAGATTTATATTTCTAAAAAGTTGGCATTAAAAAGTTGACATTAAATGTTGGCATTGTGACATTTTTAAGCTTGCATCGATTGCTGCTGTTTCAGCATGACCATGCCTAAATTTTCAGTTTAACAATAGCTTTGATTTTTATGTATAAACCTTGCTTTTAAGGGTTGGCTTTAGTTAAAAGTTGGATAAAATTAAAAATCCCCTTATTGTGGCTCTAATCTGGCAACTTGTTTCGAAAGAATTCAAGCAAGACTGAGCTCCACCTTAAGCTTATGGTGTGTTCTATTATTACTAGAAAAATTTCAATGAACAGAAAACAGATATTTCTTCATTTATCTTCAACATTGGCTATAAATTATGGTTCCAAATCTTTTATGTCTTTGCATTCGAAAGTTGGCATTAGGTCAAGAATTTGTTAATCAACAAGAGACGTTGCAAATTGCATTACCTCTAAAGCTATTTCAGATTATTAAAAGATTGAAGGAAGATTTTTTAAAAATTGGTCATCTTCTGCCAATAGGTTTGCCTTAAATAGAGCTCAATAATGAGTAATTTCAATAACTAAAAATTTATTTTTAAAAATTTGAAAGAGGATAATTCATTCCTTTAGAATGAATCATAGGCATGGTTTTCTAATTAAGTCTAGGAATTTAGTGAATTAATAAAAATTTTAAGATACACTGCCTGAATGTTGCTTTTTGTTGAATCCTGACACGCTTCAGTTTGATGTTGAGGAGACTGCGATCGCCTCAGAGCCGTATCTTTCAAAAGTCAGCCTTTTCGATATCTGTGCAAAGTTGGCGCTAGATCTGGTTAGTAATACATAGGTCAATATCCTTCACTATTCTAAATTTTTTAAATTCCATGTTAACTAAAAAAATTATCTCTATAACATTTAAGCAAACTGAACGTTTATATGAGAAAATGAATGATTCTGAACGTGATCGAATTGAGGATATGATGCATCGTGAGCCTGTTGTTTGGAGCAGAGCTTTGGAATTATCTCCCCGAAGAGTTATACTTCATTATGATGACATTGCTTATAGCTGTGCCGAAAGTGGATATGTAAAGGCATTCGAAAGGTTTCACAGAAATTGATTAATATTTATCCGATATCCAAGATATCCATAGGCCTACCACCGTTATCCATATATGGATTTACCCAATATCTATAGGTTTACCTAGTTTTTGATTTTTAACAGTCTGTTTCCCATCTCGAGCCTGTACAAATTAATATTAAATCTTATCTTCTCAATCATTTTCTTATAGAAATCTGATGAAAGTTCGTGAATTGGATGATTCGAACCTACTTCAACGGTGCGCACTCGCAGCAATTCTCAATGGTCATGTAAATGTTGCAAATTCAATCAGAACTGATAATTTTTCGGTAGCTTTCCATCAATTCTTCCCAGATGGAAGGCCGCCAACTGAATTCCTAGTCCAATTGGTTGTTGGAAATGAGGTTGGTTGGGATTTAAATCCTTGTCAATTTATTATTCAGCTACGACCAGAAGTTGGCGAGCAAATCTTTGAAGAACTCCTTGATTGGCTTACAAAATTGGATGTTCAGAGGCTCAGACGTGAAATCGAAAAGGATAAGAAAATTCCTTTGGGAGTGCTCCAAAGACTTGATTCCAAATACAGAGAGTGTATCGATTCGCGCGATTATCCTTGTGATTATGACTGATAGAAGTTTGTTCTCGCTTATTTGAATTTTGAATTTTACATAATATGTATTTTTAAATGAGAAAGATCATAAAAAATCATTTCGGCTCTTCTATGTATTTTTTTTAATTTGCATGGATACGAAAATGAACCTTCCTATTCTTTTCTATTTTCGATATTAACAAAACAAAAACATCTAAAGCTTAAACAAAAACAATAATCCCACACAAATTTCTAGGTGATTAATCAGCTTTTTGCTTAAAAAAGATCTGATTTTCCCTGCCTATCTTAATGCCTTTGTAGTTAAGCCTTTTGAACATTTTTAAAAAATGAAATCGGAAATAAATCGATCACTCAACGGCCGTTTATTTAGCTTTCTTTTTTAATCACATCCACACTTAGCCCATTATCGCCAAGAGCGGCAGCGACCCAATATTTAGTCCTAGGCGTCAAATGTTTTTTGTGAGTCCACATTTCATGGATAAATCAACAGATGTTTTAAGCACTTTATCCTAATAATTTTCGTTGAAGCGAGGTCAGTTATGTTAAAAATCCAAAGTGATTAGAATTATACATAGTTCTGGTCTCGGTCTCTCTCAAAGAAAATGACTCACCAACTAATTCCTCTCAAATCTTTTGACAATTGTGATTGAAAAGTTCACGAATTTTCTTTAAAAATTTTCTTAACCTTTACACATTTTAATCACCTCATCATCTTAGCGATGAGTTGCATGAACTTTTGCTAAATTTTTTGATCCTATAGAGAAATACTTAAGGATGGACTTAAAAATTCAGAGGGAATACAGGGTCATTTAAGCCTTATTTGATCGCCGCATTATCCCTAATTTGGATAAAGTATTATCATAAATTATGTGGGCTATTTCTTTTTGATACCCTGTAGGTCAATTAGTTAAATATTTAAAAATACTAAACCGAAGGGTTTGTTAGTTTGAAAGTTTTTTGTCTTTCTTAAGCCTTTTTATTTGTTGCATTTTCTTCACATTGTCCCAATAAAATAATGCTTCTTTAATCATTATATTTTAAAAAGCATTACTCATATAAGCCACATTTAGCTTCAATTTTCCATCAAAGCTGCTCGCCAGTTTAATGCTATTGATGCATAAATTTGCAAATCATCTTCCATTTTTCTTAAGAAAATCATTAACAATCAATTTTTGCTCATTTTTAATTCAGCATAAAATAAAATAAATTCTAAATTTTAAATAAATTCTAGTGATGTTCGAGACTCTCGGTCTCGACTCTCGAGTCGAGAAATTTCTCGGGTTTTTTGAGCTCTCGGTCTCGGTCTCGGTCTCGGTGTTTTGGTCTCGGAAAACGAGACTAAATTTACACCCCTAATGACGGAAATTTTTTGAACTTTACTCGGACCTTGCGTACTTTGATATTAAAATTTTTAAGGAAAAGTCTCCAAAATTCCCAAAATTTTGCCTGCGGCGCTGAAAAATGGAAGAAATCTGGCTTCTTGAGCTCCAAAATTCTCAAAATTTTCGCCTGCGGCGCTGAAAAATGGAGGAAATTTGGCTTCTTGAGCTCCAAAATTCAAAAAATTTTTGCCTGCGGCGCCAAAAATGCAGCAAAAATTTTAATTTAATAAGATTAAAGGATTAGATTTTGTGGTTTGTGGTATATTAGATACTGTGGATTCAGAAGGATAAAATTTAATATCAAGGGATGGGTGCATCGATGGATCAAAAAGATATTGTTGGATTTGTAGGGATATGGAAGGATATGAGGGGATTTTAAGAGATTAATGTGAATATCATTGAATATATATTGTGGACAAGGGGATTCAAGCGAGTATGGGGATTTTGAGGTATATCAAGGGATTTTTGGGCATTAGGAGGGACATCAAGTGATATCCCTCTTAATCTCTCGGTCTCGACTCTCGGTCTCGACTCTCGACTCTCGTTTTGGTCTCGGTCTCGGGGTTGATTCTCGGTCTCGGTCTCGACTCTCGACTCTCGGGATTTTTTGACTCTCGAACATCACTAATAAATTCTGATTTTCATACTTTTTAATTAAATGAATATTATAAAGAAATTAATTAGTGGAGGTGGAGGAGGCAAGAAGGAACCTCAAAAAAGCAACAAAAATTCATCAAATGACACTAATGAAAATTTGGAAGACGATTATGAGCCTGAGCATTGTGAAACTGACTTTGACCAGCAGTTTGAACATGCTAGACGCAGTATTTCAACAACTACAGTGCCAACTATAACACATTGCGAATATCGTAATTATTTTATTAAACCATGTTTTATATTAAATAACCCATAAATTCATAGGCGGCAGTCCCTCACGAAGCAATCGGAGCACGCCAAATCAATCTGGAAATCTAAAATCCGGTCGTTCTACCAAAAGTCCATCCCCTCTACAACCTCCAACCACACAGCGACCACGCTTTCAATCCTCGCCGTTAGCAACATCGAATTCAGTAGCGGTTAGAAAAAGCAGTAAATCAACACCACTAATGCAGCGCAAGTCACAAACACCTGAAAAACCAGGGGTTTCTACTGGCAAGGATTCCATCCAAAGGAATATGACAATGACACAGCAAAAGCAGGTAATATTTTGAGCGTTGAATTAAAATATAAACCGGTACAATTTCCAACTAAATTAAGGCTAAAGATTTCGTCGAGTCTCTTGATTGGATACAACCAACTCAACAAGTATCGAGCAGTGTCATTCAACCTCAAGTTGTGCAATCACAAATGATGTAATTTTTGATATTTATATTTATAAAATGAAATTTTTAATATTAAGAGTCCCACAAATCCATATTTGTGAAGCGTTACCAGTTGCTCGACCCAGTAAAGCAGTCACCGCAGTTATCCCACAGAAACGATCAGGCATTCCTGTTCCTGTAGCAGCTTCAGGGAGAGTTGTGAATATAAACAAATAAATACAATTAACACGAAGCTATTTTATCAGATTTTTTGAAATTTATCATAATTAATCCCTGACACTTTTTGACAAATATCCCCATAATATCCTCATCTATCCCTTACTAATTAATTGTTTTAATTCAGTAATGATTTATTATTGTTTGTACATTATATGTACATTTAATATTAAAATTTATTCAAGTGTTCATTGCCATCTTGCTTTGTTGTTGAACATTTGTCTTCATTGGCTGGACCATGGTTAGGCTCTGCTTAGGTACAATTCTAAGTGATGAAAGGACGTGATAGCGAAATTTTCTGGAATAGATGATATAAACTCATGGTCTTTTAGTTGAGATTAGGATGGCGGTTCCTGGGAACTCTCCGGATATCCGGAACCGGTATCCGAAATGATTTCGGATATCCGAGGTTTTTTCGGTTCCGGATACCCGGAACCGCCAACCTTAGTTTAGATGAATACCATACCTTAATAATATCATATATAACATTGGACTTATTCCACAAAACAAAATAGATGCCGAATTCAATAGCTCATGTTCTAATGAAGTCATTGCACCATACCGAGCTTTAAAGTAAAATTAGATTTATAAATATATTTATAAATATTACGCATGAATCCATATATTATTGGCGCAATGAAAACCAAAAATTGAATAAAGGATTGAATTAGTATTCGAATCTCTTGGTTTTTTTGTGATGTGTTAGCCGAATTATTATGATTGTTCAAAAATTTTCGTGCATTCTGTAGAAATAAGAAAAATATTATTTTTTAAAATTATCTGCGTACAATCTTTATCACTAGAGCAATGGAACAATAAATGATAAAACAGATTGTTGGAATTGACAAATATCCATAGTACTCAATATTTCGCATAGTGAGCGATAATGTATAGTTTGTATTATATTGCCAGCCATTGTTTTCTCTGTTCAGGTAAATTTCACAATAAGGTGATAAGAAGATTATCGATATGATAGTAAAGGCGATCATTGAGATAATGTACAAAAACTAGAATTATTTTAAATTTTGTGGGCAAAAAGGTACCTTGTATACAAAACTCTCAATTTGCGTATCAGTTTTCTTAAAGACATTAAAGATATAGAGCTTAAGTATTGTACATAGCCGATTGATTGCAAGAACAAAATTCAAGAGGAAAAATAAATCAAACGCAGCATCCGTAAATGAACCGATGATCTGAAATTAAAATGGATTCATTCTTAATGTCATAATTATTTTAATTTACTTTCTCAATCCAGCTTTGATACAGATTATCAATCGCAATGAACGGATAAATTCCCATTGTGATAATTAAGTATAATTCGGTAACACCAATGATAAACATTAAACGATAGGATGTTTCTTCGCGATATTCCTTGCGCAGAATGAACTGCTAAATTGGAAAAATTTTAAGCTTATGACAAGCAGATTTTAAGATCTATCTTGCTTTCAAGCATAAGTTTGAAAATAAACATGCCGGCAAAGTTAAAAGTTGAAGCAACAAAAATACAATGGACATTATCAAACGTAAAGAAGCAAAAATACTGGTTATGTTTAAATTTGTAGTCATTATAATGAAATTTTATACTAAATTTACACTAATTTTCCCTAAGCCTTAGCGGATTTTTTAATAGTTTATTAATGAAGGATATTAAATAAAATTTCAAAATATTGATGCTTTTTTTTTGAGTTATGAGAAAAAAATTTAGTCGGCTTTATAATTTCATAACAATGTTTCAAGTTAAATAACAATAATAAAAGTTAACGTTTTATTCATAGCTAGAATTTTGCTCGAATTTAATTATCGAAATAAATTACTATAATTTAATTTTGATATTTTTTTAGAAAATTGACAAGCTTAATTGAAAAAAAAAGTAAGGCTTATTTTATTATTTTTATTAAATTAAACACATTGTTAGCTAAAAACGAAGGAAATTAAAAAGGTATTAGAATAAAATAGAGTTAGTTGATTAAAAATTAATCAAATCATTAATAACAAAATCAGCTGTATAGAAAATCATTGCATTTTAGATGAATTCCAAAAGTGGACTAATTTTTCAAAATATTCATTGTCTTCTGAAATTAAAAATTGATTAAGAACATAGACAAACTTAGGAACCTTTTACTTCTTTCACTTTAGGTTGAGCTTTTTGTTTTTTATCGTTATTTATTATTAAAATCTCTAAAATGTTAAAATAGGTAAACTTTAATAAATAGTTATTGAGCCTCAAGTCTAAGCTAACATTAATAACGTACCCGGTCTACTTTTAGCTGCGGCACTATCAATTTTTATGGTCGTAATTTGCTTCTTTGTTTTATCATCTGAATAATTTAGAATAAATGCTTTAATAAATTCAAGCATACCGTTAGCTATTGTTCCGACAACCATCAAACAAATAAATAAAACATTTAACATCACGAGCCTTTGAAATTATCTTTTTATCTTTAGCGAGAATGATTTTTATGGACAGAATATATAGGAATAATTTTTCGCATATAAGAATGATGTAATTATCTTACAAGATTATTTAAGTAATACACTTCAGCGGAAATAATATATTAAGTAGATGCACTTTATTTTGTAGATGCACTTTATCTGGCATGCCTATTGACAATTCTTCGAATTTAAAGTTTAAAAAATTTTCTCATAAAAGACCACACGTATTAAAAGATACTCTATCTTACATAATATTGAGAAAATGCCAAAGACTGGGTGGCATTAAAACTTTTATTGCTTTAACTTATGTCTTTTACGAGAAACTGACTATTTTCCAGCAAAACCAAACAAATAAAATATATCTTTATCCAAAAATAAAATATAATTTTTATATGGCACCATAAACAATTGGCAATTGAGATCATAATTAACTGAATATTTCAAAAAATATTGTGTGAAATGAAATAATGAAAAATCTGTCACGTTAAAATTCAGGATATGGAGGTTTTGCTATTACAGATTCAGGAAATCTTTCAATATCGGGAGGTAAGTTCTGTAAACTCGTTCCTGATTGTTGCTGATCAGGATTTACTGTAGAATTTAAGCTGCCAAGTCTTGAGTTAAGTTGCAATTGTTTATGGGCGAATATTTGTGGCTTTTTCATAGCGCATTCTGATGGGGCTCGAGATCGAAGGGGTACAATTGAATTTGCCTTCATGAATGAGCACACCTTATAAATTTATAATTACTTTATAATAATTGGTAGATCATTGAGGCAATAAATGTCAAATAATCTAGTGAACCTGAGCTGGCAATTCTGCTAGCACTTCTCGACCCAAAAGAGTTTTTAGAATAGCTTGTTCTTCAGGCGTTATGCCCCATGCAGAACCGATAAATTCGCGGAATGGGACAAACTTTGATATTAAAGTGAGAAAATAAACTAAGAACTATTCAAATCTACTTGCACAATATCCCTTGATGCCACATTCCCATTGTAAGTCAAAAGACGGTTGTCTGAATCTAGAAACTCCATTTTCTTGAAGTCTTCCTTGCCAATTCCAATTACTTAAATTTAAAATTTATAATCAAAGCAAAATTTTCTTACTTATAATTGAAAGAGGCTCATGCGAAGCCTCAATTAATGCTTCTATTGTGTTTTGCATGTCAGTTATTATCCCATCAGTCAAAATTAATAGCACCTAGTGAATATTATATTACATATGTATATCTAACTAAAAAGTTCGGACAAACTTGATATTTAGTACCGTCCCTAGGGAATTGCTGACATTTGTGCACAAATTCACGAATTGTAGGAGCAAAATTAGTTGGCCCATATAATTGTGTGTTGACAATGGCATACCTATATGCATCTAATACACCTTGGATTCCCTCAACTGAACGTTCAAAATTGTTAAGCCTCTGAATATTTTAGGGAAATTGATTTGAATTTTAAAAATAAATACCAGAGGGAACATATGGCTAACTGTAAAAGCTGGTGGGATTTTGGCACCAAAACCAATAGTTTCAAACATTTTGGAATGATTATAGTGTTCGCATATTTCCAATACAGCGCATATGGCACATTCATACTGATTCAAATATTGTGAGTTCACATAGTGCAATGAACTTGATTTAGAAATCTCGCCATTCGAAGCAGTCAAATCGACTGCAACTGCAAATTCAAGTTGCAAACTGAAAGTTTTCACTAAAATTTGTGGAAAAACTTTGACTACCCAGAAGCGATAAAATCAAGAAATGTAAACTCTTTACGAATCTGAACATCCATAAAATGAAGAATCCCTTTTGGGACCTTTAAAGGCACTCCTTTGTTCTTTTTTGTTTTGATCAATTCAAGTTGGTTCTGTTGATGGGAGGTCAGTGCATTAAGGGATGTTTGTGTTGATCCGATCAAATGATGGCTAAAAAGCATTGATGGGATTTTTGATAATTTTAATGAACAAACTTTCCAGTAGCCTCTCTTTGATCATAGCACTCAATGAGGAAATCACTTAATTTTAAATTATACACTACTCAAAAATACCAAAAATTACCTCCCTTTGTCCCCCTTGCAGAGCTGATTTACTCTTAGTTCAAAAGGCTTCCATTCAGGATTTTTAGTATTCCTAGCCAATTCTGTCCTGTAGATCATTTGCCGACTTAATTTAATTAATCGATCTCACGACGAGAGTTGATTTTTTCCAAGAAAAATAAAGAACTAATCAAACATATAAAAATACCTTCCATCGCATAAAAGTCGATAGAATTCCAAAAATGTATTTGGATTTAGGATACATTTCCTAAGAAATGAACCACCACTGTTAAGAGCAACACCTCTAAGAGAAAAATGTGCAATATCACGTTGTCCCTCGTCGAGTTCCTCCGCACATACCAGCAGTAAACCGCCTTGTCTAGGAACATCTTTACATGAGCTTAATTTAATTTTTGTTTCTCCATAGAAAATTAAAATACTCACAAGACTTTCATCACACAAATTCCATTAGGAGCTGCAACAATATCCGCTAACTCGCATTCACATTTTCCTAGAAAATCGTGTTCTGACAACTTTGCAGATTCAGAATCGATGTCGTAACTTAATCAAATTTTTAAAATAAAAATTAAAATAAATTTACATCTTGAAGCGAAGCAACTGTTTACTTTCAAAATAATAATCAAGAGTTATTCGCTTGTTCCACACAGGATTTAATGAGTTTTTAATACATTCAGTCCTCCCAATCTCCACGAATTCGTTTTTAGAATCATCACGAGCATATCGAGTAGTCATCTCTTCAACAATGCATACAGGATCAGACTTTGAGAAGAAGTCGCGGTCTGCCAATGTTCTACAGAATTAAACACAAAATATTAATAAAAATTTGGGGTAAAACCTCGCGGAGATCATTAATTCCACACGAGCGCATGGACCTTTATCTTTAATAATTGGTCGATTTTTTCGCTCAAAATAATTTGTTGATGGGCCTGATTTGAATCCTGTAAAATTCTTATACTATCATTTTTAAGTTAAAAATGCACCGATTTCATCCGTAGAAATAGGAGCTGATGGAGGCGTCGTTGCTTTGAATTTTGTCGAAATTCCATCGTGTGATTTATCATATCTCCTTATTGAGGGGCTTGATTTATGATTTTGCTTATGGTTGTTATTAATATGCGGTCGTGTAGCTAGAGGCATAAATTACACTTTCATTAAATTTCTATGGCTATACTAAAATAAATTAATTTATTTAAGTCTATATAAGTTTATTCCCCAGCATATGCGCAATTCAACCCACAAACAATTTAGTTAACTCCTAGCCACGTTCAATATAATTAATTCAATTTATTGACTCCCACCCACATCACCTTAAAAGAAATTTTGACAATTTTTAAAGTACTACGTTAACGAAATTATTTGTTTACGTCTGTCTATCTATTTTATCATATTTCATTATTGTCTGAAATCGTCGCGCTGTTTGTCTAAAATTTAATTCAATTTATTGATGGGGGTTGGGGAAAAATTTTAATTTAATTAATATCTAAAATTGTTAAAAAAACGTTCGTACTTTTCAATTATTAGTTTTCAAAGAAAATTCTTTAATAAAAAAAGTATGGCTACATTTTGGTAAACGAAAGGGAAATGTCTGAAATAGCTGCCAGCTATAAACAACTGCTGCTGTCACCAACAGGAAACGTGTGAGGCTTCTTCACACTAAACCTAAAGCATATCGATTGCAGTCCATTGTCGCATGCAGCTTTTTGCCTTTGCTTGAAAAATTGAAAGTATTGTTATGTGTAAATGAATGTTTAATAAGAGTTTTAAGTTTAATTATCAAGATTTCCAGATAATTGAAGATTATTTAAATATCCTTTAACAATAAAAAATGTAAAATCATTTATCTAAACATTGTAAAACTACAATTTTCCAACAATTTTCCAAATAAATATTTAATAAAATTAAAATCAAGAGTGTTTCTAAATCTTTCTCTTCAAAATTTTTCCATGTTCCATGCTTTTTCATGTATGCTAGATTTAGAAACATCACTGATTGGGTTTTATGTTTCTTTAGACAGACTCAAATTTAAATCATTTAGATTTTCAAATTAATTTTCAACTTCTCTTCATCCAAATGCCATGTTTCAGGATCACGAATTTCAGGAAACATAATCGTTTCTTCGATCTCCAATTCATTATTCCCTTGTAAGATACGGAAGATGCCGTTTTCTCCCCATCCATTAAAAATAGAAGCTTTGCAAACCCAGTACTCTTCGCCTTCTTCATTTTTCCCCCAACCGATGATTAGTACTGATCGTTTAGCCTCATTAATAGAATACTGATTATCAAAGATTTTTAGAGCCTCGTTTCTCTAAAAACATAAACTAACGCCACGATATTTTCACAACTAACCTGGAAAATACCACTACTGTAGGTTGTGAATGAGTAAGACGATGAGAGGAATGCAACTACTGGTCCTTCGCGCATAATTTCCTTTTTGATTCGGTGAACGAAATCTTCACGGTCAGCGATACTTTTGTACAAACGGTATCGTTTTTTATCATTTGAATCTTCTTCGCGCTGAAGAGTTATCGGATAGGTAATAAAAATTATAGTGATAAACAGTGTTTGGTTACTATAATTGTTTCACTTGAACTGGTTCAGAAATCGGGAACCTGAGATATTGAAAATTCGTATTTACGGAGCTTTTCGAAAATTCCGGGACATGTAATAAACTTCTACCTTTTCATTTTCACAATTTTCCCATTGAATAAATAGTCGGACTATCCCCTTTTTTGGCTTAGGTTCCACCCACGATTTATTTGTACATTCCTCTTCACATTTCATGGTTTTACTACTTTTTAGCATATAAGATTTTGGATAAGGCTTGCAGCCTGACTTAATATCTGAATTTGTTCCGCTTCGAATTCCCTTTTCGATAGAATGAGCGAACGCTTCTGCTGGACTTCCTTGATAATTACATCTTTAAAAATAAAGTAAAAATAAGAATAGAAGCAAAATTAATACTTTTTAATGTTATTATCGGAGCATGTAAATAAGTCGATTGCTGATACAATGTTAGCAGAATTATTCAACTTTGACATGAAAATCTTCCTCATTGCAAAACTCCAATCATAATTATGAATATTCTCGGAAGTTGAAGCCTCCTTGTTCCATCTACCTGATTCACGTCGAAGGCACTCCTCAATCAATGATGGTTCTGGCATTTCAACGTCCATTGATTGTTGCTCCTTTTTATTAAATAAAGTTTATACAAGTCCCCCAACAAAGATTTTACATGTCCCCCAAAATATTCTAACTACGTACAAAATTATATCTCAACATACCTTATCATTGTCGTCCTGTTTTCGTTCAATAAACTGACACCAATATAAAGTGATCCAATCTTTTTTATCTTCATTATCCATTGCTCTATAAAACAGCAAGTTTTTATTCTCGATCCATTTGAAAAATTCTTCAAGTGCATCAACCTTTTCCTTTATGGAGTTAAATGTATATTTCTGGTCTTTCACCCATTCGAGCATTAATAGTATTGTCCTTAACAAATTTTATCATACATTTTTATACTTAATTTACTACCATGCTTCACGCATAGATTCCTCTTCATCGACAAAATTAGAAGACAAAGTTCTCAAGCTAGTAAGATCATCATTCAAATTTCCAAGCAAATTACCAAAATCCCACAGGAATTTTGCTTCTTTTGAGATTATATCAGTTTGCTCAGACCATCTTCTGATTTTTTCGCGAAAAGTATTAACTTTGCGTATACAAATCCTTGAGCTAATCGAGTCTGCGGCTGCAATAGCCCAACAACTAGAACACTCACCATTCTCTGTCAATTATTTTTAAACATTAAGATAAATTTATATTTGAGGTCCCGTAGATCATTATAAATACGTTAGATTCACCATATGATAAAATGATTACGAGATTACAGGATTAAACGAGATTACAGGACTTTACCAATTGCATGTTGAAATATTTCTTTACATTCAGGCCATTTTTCAGCGACAAGAAATGAACTCGGAATATCCTCAGAATAAGCTACGTCTCGTCGAGTTCGAGTTGAAGGTCCTTCGATTGTCTGATTTTCCTTTTCTATCTCGCATGTCGCAATATTTAAATTCGTGCCAAATAGTAATTTTCTAAGCTGTTTTTTGTCAGCCAATTGCGAATAGAATTTTGCCTGATAAAAAATTTATTCAAAAATCATTAAAAAATAACAAATTTTAACCTTCCACTTGTTTCCAGTATAGTCATTTATTTCTTCAACTTTTGAAATTTCATTCCTCCTAGCGAATTTTTTCTTATGACCTTTCTTGACACCAAGTGAATACCATATTGAAAGAGTAATTAAAAGAAATATTATTCCAAATTTTATTGAAAACATGAGTATTCTTGGATCGACTTTATTTAACTCTGAATTGTGATGATAACAGAAAGCGTCTAATACATATATAGGGGAGTCGTGGTTTCATCATCATGATGTAATAGCAGTGAATCTCCTCAAAGTGCATCGATGCTTCACATAGCTCATTCACATGCAAAAAGCATTTAATTTAAAATTTTTTACAAATTGCTGTAAAACAAGATTAAGAAATCAAAGTCTTTAATTGAGAAACAAGGTCAAGATTGGGAAATAAATGCACTAAACAATTTGTCAATAAGGATATAATTCCGGTATTTCTTAAAATTGCCCTTTATAAATAATTTTATTTTAATTATTTATACAATTAATTAATTAATTTAATTCAATCGTAAGCTTACGCTTCAATCGTAAATTTTTGAAGTTGATACAGAATAGAATCTTTTTAAAATATATTTTTCCATTTGAAACAGATTTCTTATAAATTCAGATAATGTTATTTTGATAAGATTACCCTTTATTTAAATTTAGCTTTGAATAAAATCAAGATTATTCAACTTTATTTCATTTCAGCCTTAGAATAAAATTTTTAGTAATTTTTCGTATAAATTTTTGGTTAATATTCAATCAATAAATTTACTTTAAATATTTGATACAAAAAATATTTTTCTCTATGAATGTAATAGAAATCACCCTCAGCTTTCGCAGATGGATATAGATGAGCGCGACCCACTATATAGCGAGAGCATTATGGCGGCAAATTCCTGCCTCCGGCGGAGAATATTGCGGTTTGCACACCTTTACATTACATTAAAATAGCACAAGAGAGTGGTAGAATACATGTTATATGGATATGGAAATGACGGAAAGGATAAATTTGAAAAAAATTTTTTAGCGATATAGAATGAACAGAATGTAAACAGTTGTGCTAAATTTGCGCATTCAAATGAGAATCAATTTGGGTCATTTTACCAAAATCTTTCTTTTCCATTGTGTGATTTTTTCATCACTATTGCAATTATTAGTGGCGCAATCTAATGAATTGAACCACCAAATAAAAATTTTCTTCCATTTGATCATTAGATTAATTTGATAATTTGAAATCTGCTCGTCCGTCGTATTTTTCATAATTCATTCCTTAACAATATAAAATTTTATAATTCTGATTTTTTAAGTTGACAGATTATTATGCAAGAAAGATACGGACTGAAGCTTTTATTTTTACTAATCATAACTATCAATGTCAATAATGTAGTCCCTCAGGAAACGATCCAATACTCCCCTCATCAAACGGATCCCAGACAGAGAACAGTAATTATGAGACTAGAACCGGTATCGTAAATTGATTTGTTTTATTATACTCATCTATTTAGTTACCCGACAAACCACCATTCTTAAGCCAAGCTGTACCACCACGTGCAATACCGCAGAGTATCCAATCTCAAGCTTCAATCAAAAACGATCAATCAGAATTTAAACCACACGCATTACCTCAATCACAACAGCCTAATAGAATTGAAGCTCAACAAAAAGTTGAGGGACAAAAAATCGTGAATGCCGTATAATAAGAAACTATTTAGTTTAACTAATAATCCCACTAGGAATCGCCCGTGCAGTTTGCGGTGCCAACTGTAGCTGCACAACAACCAGTTATACCTCCATTAAATGCATTAGGTCAACCAATTTTAACTCCAAGAGAAGACGCAACACCGCCCCCAGCTCCGCCAAGTATTTTAATTTGAAAAATTTTAACCTGATAAAGTTTATAGTGAATATACCAACTGACGTTCAAAATCAATTAATTAAATTTCTCGGACTAGATTCATTCGGTATATTTATAGATATTGTAGCGGCAGGCTTAATATATTAAGGCATACCTGGACTTACTGGAACCCATCCTAAAGGCTTTGCCGGTGCAGTAGAGGTTAATAATCCTTTTGAATTTCGAAAATATTTTAATTTAGGAGTTGCGATCGCAAGGAATCCCTATTCAAGGACTACCGCTAGAACATGTCGGAGGTCAACCAATACATGCACCTCAAGTAATAAACAATGTAAATTAAACAATATAAAAATTTTTTTAAAAGAATGATGCTTTGGTTCAAGCAAATCCAAAATTTGGAAACGAGTTGAATTCTCTTCTTGAGGGATCTCGTGGTCCTTTCAATCCATCTGGAGGGAGCGCACCGTAATCTATCAAATTTGTTAATTTATAACATTTTAAATATTCGTCAGTCTTCCTGATGCTAAACCAGGAGATAACGGTCTGATTGGTCTTTTGAGCAGCTCTGTTCGGAGATTTGTCAAGGATTGTAAGAAAACATTTAAAAGCTAATATCATCATTAAATTCAATTCGATTAGCTGGTGTGGCAGATGCCTTATCAAATACCTTACCAAATGTGCTCGGCACCAATCAAAATGTAGATGCAAAAGGATCTCCAGCATTGACGCAAAATTCTCAAAGTCTTCTTGTTGGAACAAACGATTCAACAGTGCAGTCACAAAGTGTTCCGAGTTCAGGTTAAACCTAAATCCTTCATGAAAAAAATTTGAGAGTTAACCTTTTGTTTCTAAAGTAGTTAGACGTCAGCAATCTCCTGCAGAAAGAGCGTTAGCTGGCTTTGCTTCTGCGCTAGGTGGTGGTAATTCGAACGGCCCTGCGCATGCTGGTAATTATTTCAATAAAATATATTTATTTGGAAATATTTAATGTCAAAATTTTTAAATTTAATCAAAAAATTTTAGGCCTACCGAGGATACCAGGTTTAAAAACTATTTTTAATCACTTATTTCTATGAAAATAGGAATCCCAATCCTGCCTGGCGGCATACCAAGAAATTCTCAGGGCCAAATTGATGTTGTACAACTTATTGGTGAGGCTTAATTAGTAATTTCATTACCTTTTAAATTTAATTTCTGTTTAAAATATGATCAACTTATAAATAATATTTTTGAAAAATAGGCTCAATCACACGAAGAATTTCGAATGGTACGACGCTAGCTGATGTAATACCACCTGAACAGCTACAAACGCTTGCAGGTTTAAGAGATGTTTTATAAAAGAAATATTAATTTTGCTAGACAATGTAACCGATGCTCTGCTACCCGCTACACCAGAAGATTTTGATTTGAACAAGTTCATGGGCAGATGGTTTGAAGGTATACAGTAAATTGAAGTTTAAAAATTCTATTTTCTTTAAAACTTCAGGCATAAACAGTCCGAGGGCTACTGAGCAACGATGTGTCGTTCATCACTGTAGGCATTCATTTACATTTCACTATGTTAAAGTTGGGCGATAATATAAAAATTATAATTTATAGATGGAGGTTTGACAAGAAATGAGAGAACGGCAACATTTACCGCGCTGAAAATATACCGGGAAGGTAGCGAGTTTGGGCCAGTGAAATATTCAATTGGCTATGCTTTCCGAGCTGGAAATAAAGTATATAAAATAAAATTGAAAAAATGCAAAATATAAAATTTCTTAAATAAAAATTAAATAAAAATAGGACGCAATGCTGCAGTTGCACAGTTCAGAAAATGCAGACGCACAGCCTTGTGAGGATAAATTTGTTTTTTAAATATTTTCTCTAATTAAAAACAGTTTGGGTTTACAAACTTGGTCCAGAAGGTAATGATCCATTTGGAAACAAACAATATGAATACGCTATTGTCAGGTAAACCTCAATAATTAATCCTAGTTTATTCAAAATCTATAGCAATTGGGTAAAGTATCCTGTTACTGTACTGGTTCGTGATCCTGATACATTCAAAGCTAAATATGAGGTAGAAGTGCTTCGTTGGCTTGAAGACCAAGGCTTCATAAATGGTATAAAGATTTTTTATTTATAAAATTTATTATAATACAGGCTTCATTCGCGCCTTTAATTTACTTCAACCTGCGTCGTAAGTTTAAAACAAATTAAATTTAAAATAATGCTAAACATTAATCTAAAAATTTTTAAAACAAATTTAAGCTATGGAAGCTGTCAATATGCCGACAACACCTTTGAGCTATTTGGACGGAAATAATAATCTCTTTCAAAATACTTATATTTAAATTATTAAAATTATTTATCATTGAGAATTTATAAATATATACATTTATATTTAGTTGTGATTAGCAGTTAAATGCCCTAAATTAAGGATAATAATAGAATTCAAGATGAATTTGAATTTTAACATGATTAACAAATTCATTTGTTGACAATAAACAATTATAAATATGAATGTCTCAATTTAACCGTTTACATTGTCGCGCATAATTTAATAATTTTCTTCAACAGCAAAATGGTTTTAACTCGTCGTCATCGCATGCTCGTTGTGTACAGCAGATATCTGTTATCTTGCTAAATCCTGCATCTATAAAATTATATATCAATAGCATAAGCTAATCATCAAATAAGTGATTCCTATCTACTGTTATTTTAATTCGAGTTTTAGACCCAAACCTTACCTAAAAATATTACTTATATTTTATCTAAAAGCACATAAGCTTACCTCTTTTCAATCGATTCCTTGATTCTGCTGATATTCTTTTTGTCATAACCATTGGATTAGAATCTGTAAATAAATACTAATTACCGTAAAAACTATTACAATGGCGCATTCTAATAGAATAGCCTGGCAAGAGGATTGAAAATAAAATGGTATAATTTAATAGAATGAATGGGAATACTTCGGTTTACTCTACACTTTTTTTCATTTTTTGCTTCGACAAGTCTCGATAGAGCTTTAGACTTGTCGAATGGCATTAAACTTGCGTAAACCGAAGCTATACCGAATGTCTCCTAGAGAGATGAGTGAAAAATAAAATGGCATGCCATTTACGGCAATACTAGCTTTTATAATGCTTGTGATTTTAAATTTTCTAACCAGTAGATGATCTTAGACAGCCGTTGCATACTTTTTGAATGTGTTTAATCAAAAGAGTTCCACAGCGACGGACAGGTTGTCGTTTCACAAAGGCGGGAATTACATCCATTCGGTGATATATTTGGTAAATGTCCAGCTCGCATTCTACCTTCTGCAAATGCTGTCCGCAAAGGCATTCTGTAAAAGGCATTTTTGCTGCATTCTCCTCCTTTTCTTCTTTCCTTTAATTTCCTAAGAGTCATCAAATGATTGGTTGACAGCTTGGCGTAATTTTTTGTGGCGTCGTTCATGAAAATGTTTAATTTACAAATAATTTAATAAAAATTAAAAAATATAAATTAGTGATGGAGTTGTAGATCAGGGGAACCTTTAACTAGGCTGGGTTGTAATTTTGAGAAAATTGGTAGACCAAAAATCCAGATTTTCTTCTGTATTAATATGTAAGGATATTGTGGATATTTTGTGGTATCTGCCGATATTACATATCCGTATCTATGAACATCCCTGGTTTTTAATATTACATTAACTACAACCCAGCCTAGTTAAAGGTTCCCCTGATCTACAACTCCATCACTAATTTATATTTTTTAATTTTTATTAAATTATTTGTAAATTAAACATTTTCATGAACGACGCCACAAAAAATTACGCCAAGCTGTCAACCAATCATTTGATGACTCTTAGGAAATTAAAGGAAAGAAGAAAAGGAGGAGAATGCAGCAAAAATGCCTTTTACAGAATGCCTTTGCGGACAGCATTTGCAGAAGGTAGAATGCGAGCTGGACATTTACCGATATATTTTTTCCCCTTTCTCTAATTGTTGCATAATCATTGTCCTCCTTTCATTATAAATTTCATTAAAAATCTTTTGAGCTTGATGCCTTTCCAATAATTTTAAATAGGCCATAGTGGCTGGAAATAAGAAATTATTAGGTTTTATTGTTTAAAAACAAGATTAAACATATTCTAAGAATAAAGTTAATACATAAAAATTTATTTGAATTATTTTCATTAATCACCTTGTTCGATCATATCAGGATTTTGTTGTAAAACTATAACAGGCAAAACTTGGCTGATAAGATTATCATTATCACTTAATTTAAGAAAGACTATATAATTATTTGCATAATTTAAGTTTTAATACAAAAAAAGTTAAAGTTTAAGTACACTTAAGTTTAAGTATAAAAAGTTTAATTTGGAAATGTGTACGAATCCGAGCGCTGGTATAGTTGCTAGTTTTACTTACTTTTCATCCATTAACTCATTCGTTTCATCTTCTATGATCATATCATAGAATAATCCAGAGTTTTCCCAATCATCGCCATTTAAATTTAGATTCAATAATTGCAATGAATTTGATTCATCCATATTATCGTTGTTAACTTCAAATGTAACTGAAATAACGTAAAAGTATAGCAATTGTGCCAAAATAAGTTTTTCAATTTTGATGGCTGCTGTTATCATAACCATTTTAGTTGTCAAAATGATTTTTGTTCACTATTTTTATATATGCATAAATTGGCATTCCAATAATTTAAATTATTCAAAGGTTAATAATTAAACAAAGTTTTATTAATTATCTAAATGTGAAATTCGATTATATCTATATTTAATCGCGTTTTAATTAAAGTCGATGTTTCTACATCAACCTTCGCAGGCAGATAATTTTAGGCTTTCATCAGCAGCCATAATTGTTTTTAAAAAATTCAGTTTTGAAATAAACTCAGCATCCACATGTTATTTCATATTATTATTACTGCAGTTAGGCTAGTTTCCGCCGCCTACTTATTTAAATATCAATTATATAAGAAGTAAGCTTTACATACGAAGAAAACAACCTAAAAAGGGCAAAAAGTGCGCGTAAATGTCTTGTGAATAAGCAGTGCCAAGACAGGTATTTATTATTATGGATTTGTTTTCAACTGTAGAAATGTTTTTTAATTGGAGTAAAAATAAACAAATTAAAAAATAATAAACAAATATTTTAGAAAACTCATTCTTGAGGCTGAAAATAAATCTTATAATGAAGTGTCTTATATAGAGGTATCGCTCTGGCGCTACTGCCACCCAATGCCATTGAGTTTAAAAAATAAAATTATTTTTGCCTTTATAACACTTTAACCTGATAAAATTTAAATTATTTTAAAGTTTATTAATGATTTTAAAATTAAAACTAAGAATTATAGCCTACATAGCTTTCTTAGAAAACGTGTTAACATTTAATTTTGAATTTAATTCGCACAATCTTATTCTGCCGAGAAATTAGACAGTTTTCTCACGCAATCATTTTAAATTTTAGTTCGAAATTTCATGGAAAGAATCAGAATATTGCGTGGGCTAAAGTTATATGTATTACGCAATGTACTTAAAGAATAATTCAATAATTAGCCTAATTGTTCACTTCATAAATCTTAATACTTAAACGATACTGCCGATAAGAACACTACGTTGAAAATTGTGGATCATAGAATAATCTTTAATCATTTTCATTATCATTACTTATCTTTAATTATCATGAAAATAGTCTTATAGTCTTTAATGAATGCAAAAATTCAGATAATTTATCTTTTCTTTATATCGAATCAAATAAGCAAATTTTGGGAATATAAAAACTGGTAAAAATAATGATAAAATATACATATGTGTCGATGAGATTATTTAAAAATGATTTTAAAATCGAGCAAAACTATATAATTATACTGGTTACTATTCTAATTTTAATATTTACCATTAATAATTATCTTTCAAATAATTCTAAAATTGTTATTTAAAAAAATAATAAGATTTTATAAGCTTTTATTAATTGAATTTTGAATAAAAATAGAAATGTGTCGGCTAAAATTAAGCAAAAAGTTTTGTCTAGTTGCGTGCGCTTAAATTAAAATTTGTTAGCGTGCGCGAATTTTACGATAAGTTAAATGAACCAGTTGCAATAAGATATAATATTATTTTAAACTAGGTTCAAGATAAATAAGTAACTGTATAACAATTAAAATTTGACGATTACGCAATCAAAGTAATTGAAATTTTAATTCAAATTTTCATCAATAGAGATGGGATATAAAATATTATTGGTAATATAGTTGGATCAGCATGCTAATAAAATTTTTTAATTAAAGTAGAGACTGTTGATGACAGACTGTTGATTGTTGACAGACTGTTGATTGTCGCGTCCTCTATTTTAGAAATTATTTTTTCCTTTCGGTATTTACCGGTACTTATTAACTAAAAATTAAAGCTATTGTTCTATTCACATACCGTACTGTGTTCAAAAGATTAATTTGTCAGATAAAAATGAAACAAATTTATAAAATTTTAAACAATAGAATTATTTCTATCCAATGTCTATTTTAAATATTTCTTTCAAGTAACCATTAAATTTTGCAGAATTTAAAGTCTTGTAACTCAAATGCGTAAATTCCTTTTTATAATTTAAAAATTAAAATTATACAATTTTAAATGCTAAAATACAAAGATACAATTCAAAGACACACAAGATTTATTTTAAAATACTACATAATAATTAATGTCATGACATCATGTATTTGATACATGTTATGATGCCTCATATTGTTTAAGCCTCAAGTATTGTTTGACTCGTTATTAGTTCGAGCCGACCGACGTTCGGTGCATATTTTTCGGACTTGGTTTTTTCGATTCGGTTCGTTAACGAGCTTTTCGAGCTAAAAAGCCTCGGCTCACTCGATCTTTCGAGTTTCGGGTCGAGCGAACTGGCAATCTTACTCGTTATTAATAAAGTTATCCAATTTTTACAAAAAAATAAATCGGGGTAACCCTGAACAAATTGATTAAGTCGGATTACCAATTCTGTATAGACTGAAAAATAATTAGTATGATTCGCAACATTTTAAAAAAATTTTTGCAAAAAACATTTCTTTCAATATTACTTTTGTTCATCCAATTTTCTAATATTTTATAATATCTTAACTTTTTTGGAAATTATTAATTGTTTTGCCAATAATAACTTTCCCTTAACTTGTAATAGTTAACCACTTTAAAAACATCCAAGCGTAAATGGGCATTGCTTTTAACCGTTAAAAATTTTGAGCTTTATTTTGTGTTAATACAAATATTATTTCAACCAAATACACAATGGTACGTTTAAATTAATATTATAGTAAATTTTAATTTGAATACAAGTGTATCAAGTATCATAGGTTGGTTTTTAAGTTCCGTCTTCTTTTTCCGTTTCGACAAATCGGTCTCCGGTATAAAGACTACTATTGGATATAATGATACAGGGGACTAAAATTACATAGATATAAATAAACTTCTAGCAAATAACTTAACTAAGTTGATCCTCTATTATAAATTGGCATTTAATAAAAACCGGATTCTCATTGTAAAACGTTTTAATTTTGAAAAACAACTTTCATTAAAAATTTTGTATTGTTTAGTTTTTAATTTTTATACATTTTTAAATCGTCCAAATAATAGATTTAAAAGTTTTTGAACGTTTGCTTAAGCTAAATCGACTTATTTAGACAAAAATGCCATTGAAACCGTTTTCGGAAACGCATGCGTGCCAATTTCATCTTTTTGCTTTTAGTTGTTTTGAGAGTTCTTAGTCAAATAACAATGTCTTTTCATACGTATTTAAATCTTAAAGTGCTTAAAAGTTAAAAGTTTATAAATATATAAAATTGATGAAAAAATCTATATAGTTAATTTTGAATTTGTTTGTACTAAACTCAGGTAAAATATTCGAACCTCATTATTAGAGAGACCCAAGACCGAAAATCTCGAGACCAAAACTAGATTTCATATTAAGAGTTGATAAGATTAAAGAAATATGGGAGACCTTATTATTCATATCTTTGTATATCTGGGCATATTTACGGCTGCAGCAATTTACCAAAAATTAAATATTGTTTTATGAATGCCGATAAAATTTATTGTCAGCGTGTAGAAATTAAAAAATTCCCATGCCAGTCACTCTCAATTTGTTTTCTGCAATCCATTTCCTGGGAATGTAAAATACCTAGCTTAAAAAATGGCTGCAAAAAATAGTAAAAATAATAGAGAAAATGAAGTAAGTTTCTAGAAAAACTAAATTAAGAAATCTAAATCTAAAATAAAAACAATCTGACTGACATCCTGATAGTCTATTTTCAAAATACAAATATTCAACTGATCTAGAATGATAAAATTCTTTAAATTGTATGTTTCAGATCAGCAAAAACAAGCAGATGCAACTTCGAGCCTTCTTTCATAGACACTCTAAAAGCGTAAGGAGATAAACTTTTAAAATTAGATAAATATTGTATATAATTTAAAGGCTACACCAGTAGCAGTTCATATTTTCATGTTGCTGGGTGTAACATTATACACAATTATTGGAGTAAGTTATATGGCCGCAAAGTTAAATTTTTATGATAAGTTATAACAGTATTATTAATACTTGATTACTTTAATCAAATTTCTTAGGCTATGATTATGCAGAAAATAGAATCAAACGCGCCGCAAAGTTAAATTTTTATGATATTCAATTTTAAAATTCATTTGTACAGCAACTAAACAGAAAATCTCCATTTCCTCTGGAAAAAATTCTGGAGTTGATATCAAAAGTAAGATTAAATAAATAAATCATGTAGATAGCTGATTGAGCATAGTTTTACTATTTAATCTACTCGTAAATTAATGAAATTTAAAATTTAATAAGATAACAGAAATGAAGAGTTGATACATAGTCCGAAACGCATGCAGAGACATAATTTCAAATACAGAAGGAATATACGAGAACATGATTGCTTTGCTAATATTGTTAAGGTGAGTTATTAGTACTAAAGTTTAATTTTGAAGTTTTAAAATTTGTTTTAAACATAAGTATGTTCATGGGCGAACGTGTAACTCAAGTTATATCTTAAAAGTTTTGAAGTCATGCTACAATGCTTCGTCTGAAGGTAATTTTTTCATTTGAAGGTAGACTATAAATCCGTTATATAAACTAAAAATAGTTGCATCGTCTCAGCGATACGGTTGGTCCTTCAGTGATTCAGTTCTGTTCTGTTTCACGGTTATCACAACAATAGGTTTTAATTTTAATGTTATGTATTACAATATTTTGGAGTAAATTAAGGTTATGGTAACGTTTCACCTAAGACATTCACTGGGCAACTATTTTGCATACTCTACGCATTATTAGGTAATAAACATTAAAAGAACTTTTAGGTTTTAATAATAGAAAAATTGTTCCTACAAGGTATCCCCTTTACACTATTGGCAATAGCAGATTTAGGCAAATTTATCTCCGAAATAATGGAAACGTCGAGTGAAACTTGCTTTAAAATTAACAAGTAATTGAATTATAAATGTTATCTAAAATAATTGACTATACATTGAAGAAGAATTACTCGCCTAATGCGACAACTTCGGGGAAGACCTAAATTTAGTATTATTAACACCTATGTTGATACTAATAACAATCAAGACAACGGCAGCCATATCATTATCAATATGAACAACAATAAAATAGTTCAAAGCACTGATCAATGTTCTATTAATGCTTATCATAAAATATCAAACGAGGTCGAGCGAAAACTTTCTCCTTTTGAAAACCATGATCTAAAATCGAAAGAACATGTGGCTAACGAGGTTGAGAATTTAAAAATTTTCATAATTTTTTAAAAAGAATTCAACTGTTGATGAAGAATCAAGTGAAAAAGATGATAAACCTAACTTCAAGCATTCCCAAGCAGTAACCTTGCTCATGTTTTTTCTAATATATGTCCTTCTTGGTGCATTTATTATGCCTTTTTACGAGCCTGATATGGTATTTTTTAAGGTTACTTATTCTTATTATATTAATAGTGAAAGCATTAAATAGAGTTTATTTTAAGGCGATTTATTTCAATTTTGTCTCGCTAACTTCGATTGGTCTTGGAGATATTGTACCTCAAAGGTTTGTGCCTCAAAAAAAGAGACAATAAAAATTAACTCTTAAAAACCTGAATACACTTGATTTAATTTATGATCAAACTTATAGTGAATCATACATGGCACTAACGCTGCTCTATATTGCGGTCGGACTTGCTATTACGACAATCGCAATTGAAATAGCAGCAGATTATCTTAAAAAGTTGCATTACTTTGGCAGGAAGATTGAAAATGTTGGAAATGTGGTTATATGGTTTGGGGGGAAAAAGTAGGAACGTTAGATTTAAATATAAATTTAACATGAGTTCAGATTAACTATGAAGCAATTGGTCAAAAATTTGGGTGATCAATTCAATTTGCCCGTGCATGCTGTCAAAACACTGGACTTAGACAAATTTGTTGATGATGCTATTAAAGTAGAAGAAGGCGAGCTTGAAACCTTAAGACCTCCACCTATAGAACCAAAGGATCTCTTGGAGGATGGGACATTAAATTTTGCTGACGACGATGGAACAGAAGGGAATTTGCGTTTTTTAGAAACGATTTAAATATTTGATAAATTATCTATAATTTTGATTTAATAATGTTATAAATAACATTTTAATATGCTTTTTATTTTGATTAAAATTGCAGATTGGATTCGTCAAAGATCTCCCTCAACATCGCCAGAACTAGAGAGAAATCCAACGTTTCAACAAAATTCGGAGCATGATCAAGAATTTGACCAAGAACACGAAGAACATGCAACAGAAACGAAGGAAGAAAGTTTGGATCATTCAAAAGATTCTGAAAATTCTGAAAAGGAAATGGAGTCTGAAATTTCTGAAGAGATTATAGATATTTCACCTTTGTATTATGAAGAACCTAAAGAAGACATGATTGCAACTAATTGTGATAAAGAGTCATCTCCTTCAGAAGCTGGTGGTAAGAATTTATAAATTCTTCAGATTATTAAAACAAAGTGTCGTATACATTACAGTAGATAGGGTTGTTTAAAAATTGTAGATATATGCAAACTTGTATAATTTTTCCAGAAAGGCGTAAGTCAAATTACAGCGAGGAAGCATGGCGCCGTTATCTTGAATATCAAAAGGTTTGTGAATTGCATACTCGAATGAAAATAGGACCAAATATAATACAACATTCAATTTTTATTAAATAACTTATAAAATAGCAATGGCGTAAATACCGTCAAACAAAAACCATAGCAACGGGACTTAATATTCCAGCGGATATGCAATATACAAAAGGAATGGGATTATCAGAAGGAACGTCTAAAATGATCGGAACTAGTAAAATTGATCAAGAAGTTCGGGTTCCAAATGCAAGTTTTTTAATCTAATGATGGATAGATAAAATGACATTTTTTGGTCTCTGTCTTGATCTATGATTTCTATTGAGCGAGTAAAACTCAATAGAAGATAATATTAATAGACATTGATAACAAGACTTGTTTCTCATATTTCGGGAAATTCTATAGACCTTTAGCAAATATCCAGAATATCAATGATAAATTTAATTTAGTTGAAATCCTTATCACACAGAGGATCTGCTTCCAAACCAAGTAAATTAAGATTTTATTCAAATAAAAGCAAATTTTAATAGCGAAACAAATTCAAAAGAGAAAATATTAATTCCATGATAATTCTACAGATTGTAAGTTTAATTAATTGAAGAAATAAACATTTCATTTATCGTTATCAATCTTTTTTTAAAAAATAAATTTTATTATTATTCGTTCAGTGGATTATAAAATATCCCAATAGGAAGAATAGTGACATAAGAGCTATGCCGATTGTATGCAAAGCCAGAAAACAGCGAATCCAATCACAACGGAAACTGAAAGTAAGAAATATAAACAAGTGTAGATATCTTTTATTCCCAGGAAAAATAATTTAGGGATTTAAAGTTTAGTAAAATATAACTCTTCTCCTAATTAAATATGCGCCGAAGCGGTGGGCCCTTTCCAGATATTATAGGATACAAGGAGAGAGGATGAGATCGGGACAATCCTAGAAGACCTTTGGGGTTGATCAAGTCCCTTGGACTCTTCCTAAACACCGAACACACCAAAGTGGATTAAAGCGCTTTATTCACAAACTAGGAAATGTGGACAATAATATAATCGCTAGCTAGCACATAATAAATAATAATTTAATACAACTGAACCGTGTATAACTGTGATTAAATCGTTTAAATAAACATTAAAGGGGAGGGACAAAAGCTAGTAAATTGGTTGAAATAATGTGAACGGAAATATGATTGAACAAAGTCCTTCGGGTAAAGTCTTTCCAAGCTCAATATTTCCTGGGAAAGGACATAAGAGTCCTACAGTTTTAAAAGCAGGTCTCTGGAAACATTATATCCATAGTTTATTTCGAGATAGGTATATGTTTAAGATTGATTTTTTACCGATTAATAATGTCATCCCTTTGTATGTTAACATTTTCATTTGTTGTCTCCATATCTTTTTTCATTTCGAGATGTTCTAAATCTTCATGATCAGAGGTAGACTCGGAGATTTTAACAAACTTGTTTATCAACGTACTGATGCTGAAAACATAAAAAATAAATTCAAAGTACTAGGATATTTTCTATATCCGTCTATTTTCTCTATATTCGTTTATAGACACGAATACCTATATTAGCTTATTTTTTATTTAATAATCTGTAATTTTCAACACTTACTATATTAGGGAATCCCAAGGTGGATGATTGTAAATTCTCAATTTGGTAAGAGCCATTATTGTAGATGAAAAGATAATTGAAACCATGTTCAATACCAACCCAAGCTCATGAATTTCAACTAGTACAAATTTAAATTTTAGAAGAATTTCAAATATTTATTACCGATTATAGGAGTGTTCGCTGAAGAACCTAAAAAATTATTGAAAATAAAATCTATCACAGTTGAAACAAAAAATTTGATTTTAGCATACCCATTTGTGGAGCAATCCTTTGGCTGAAGAGTAAAAGGTTGATAAATTGGAGTAGAAGCAAAAATAATTTTGCATAAATTTGGGACTTAATACTCGCAATTAATCCAAAAACTGGCGCTGAAATAAGCAAAAATCCACATGCCAGAGTCTAAATTAGATAATTCAGAATGAACATTATTTACATATACATATATTTTATTTTAAAAAATATTTTTTTTAATTTAAATTTTTACTGGAATTTCAAGCTCAATTTTCAACGTAGAAGAAGATCTTTGCAAATTCAAACAAAATCCCATCTAAAGACAATTTTCAATAAAAGTATTTATTAATAGTAGAACTTGTGTTATGTTTGCAGGATCTTGATATACTGAGGGAATTGTTCCTGTTAACGACCAGCCATAGTCACGAAAGTATTTTGGATCGGTAAAAACTGGCTGACCATCAGTAATAAGCTTTATCAACGGCTATTAAATTCAATAAATAAAATTTAGAGCTAGGTTTTAAGTTTATATTACTCTGCTAATAAGTGGCTCCAAATAGAAACAACACCTGAAAATTAATGTCAATTGTAAACAATTTTTGTTAGAGATATTATAGTCGATTAATTTCAGTGAATTAAGTTAAAAATTTAGCAACATAGTCTCCAAAATTTGTTAATTTTTGAGACTATTTTATCTAAAAATTTTTTAATACTTATAAATATCATTCGGAAAATGTTTAAAGTCAGTATCGTCGCAGAAAGTTGAAAACTTGAAGCCCATTATTGCTGAAACATTTCCAGTATTTTTAACTTCTATCTTACGGACTTCCATTTGTTCATTATCATTGTGTAAAGCTGTTTCGTATCCCTAGAATTTGACGAACTTGTCCTGTTAAATAAGACATTTGGCGAACCTGTCCTGTTAAGTAAGGCACCCAAATATGACTTGCAGAACCTATACGGATTTGTGGAACTTTAAATTGAGACTGCTCCCAAACAAGGCGTTCATCTCTCCATCTCAACTCTAGATAACCAACAATGTCAAGGCTGCGAAGAAATTCATTCTAGATAAAATTTTATTTAATTGCATAAGGGATATCTCATGGATTAAATAAATAGTAAAGAAATTAATTCCTGCGTTTTATAGTTTTGAATAAATATAAAAACAGAAAATACAGATTCCTAACCGAAACAAAAAAATTCGTGATTATACCAATTGAAAGTGCTGAATAGTAATTTTGGCAACAAGCAATCTGATCTTAATTGAAAAATATTTCCTCTAATAAAAAGTATATGTATTACCTGACTATAGTTTGGTGGCATGGAGGCAATAGGCTGGAGAGAGGCAGTGCCAAAATGAAGTCCTGACGAGGCAACCTGTTGCTGAGCGCGATTTGCGAGGAAGTAATAAACGCAGTTCTCAAATGAAGCATATTGATGATGATTAAGACTTTCTATATCTGTATTTAAGATATTTAAAATCATCACACTTAAATCACAATACTAGTAATATTTTCAAAAAAGCGTTTGCATTCCATAATGTTTGCGCTATTTAGGTTGTTGAACCCAAAAATTGAATTTGGTCCAAGCAATTGCAGTATTTGCGGATGAACAATTTTTATATGGCATGGAAAAATCAACAAAAAGATAAATCGTGCTAATAAATACTGAATCGGCATAATCTTAAATATGAATTTTAAATCATGAGAAAGGGTTGGAAATAGTGATAACCTATTAAAAATATTGATATTACTAAAAATGAGCTAACGTTTTACACTTTGTGTTCATAAAAAGATTAAAAGCTTACTGCATATTAAAACAGCGCAAAGACAATAAAAGCCTGTTTTGCTGCAAAAATGAGCTAATTCATGATACCTGTTTGTTTTTGCATTAAATGAACAACTATTTACAAATAAGTACATTTAGTTATTTTATTAATCCAGAATATATTTCCTCAATGAAAATATAGTTTATTGCTGTATAAATAATGAATTAACAATTGAGAAACTTTAGTTAATTGGACATTTATGAAAAATAAAATGGAAGGAATGGACAAAATGTTATTTATTAAAATATTTCGAATCCTTGTCCAATGATATAATTACAATCATAATCTGACAATATCATTTAGTCCTTTTCAATATGAAACTCATTGTTTGAATTGCCGTTTTGTTGCATCTGCACAACAGGTATTCGCAATTGGGTATGCGCATCTATGACAGGCAGATTCAAATGCTCGTCGCATTTCACACGGTTGGGATGTGACATTCCGCGCTTTTCCAACTATTAACAAAAAGGAAGTTCAAAAAATTAGAATAAAGAAAAATACAATTCTTCCAAGTGCGTGAAGGGTCATACAAACAGAATATAAGTCACGGGCTTCAAAAAGATCGTCGCCTAAAATAAAGTATTTTATTGTTGAGAAAATAAGAGAACTTTGAAATGTTTCGTGATCTGAAACTCCTTGTTTTCTAGCCCAGTCGACGAAACTGTTTATGTTCTCCATACAAGCAAACCTAGTGATAAGGAAATATAGTAGTGTATACTCTTTAAATATGTACCTTGTAGTTAAAGGCGTTTCTCCAACCCAAACAAGCTTTCTTGGTCGATGTATAGTTGGAATTGCATCAGGCTGAATTTCGTTGGCTAATCTTTGAGGGGAGAAAAAAGAAAAAACAAATAACAATTAATTTTAAATTAAGAAATGTTCTAATTAAACTTATTAAATCTATCTCAAAATTGCAATAAAAGATTCCAGATAGTCTTAAATTTGCAGTCGGTCTTAATGGAAAAAAATTTAAATTTTCTAAATAATGTTGTTGAAAGACTGACAAAATGTTTAATTTAAGTAATTACTTGCATAGAATTTGCCCATCCTTAAGAACAGTATGAAAATTTTCACGTTCACCGCTTGTGTTAAATTTTCCGCCAAGCAACTCTTTTATCCATAATAAAAGAAGTTCAGCTTCATGTGGGTTGTATTTGTTAGTTTGCTGAAAAGACAACCTAGTCTGTGTCAGGATTGTTTATAAAACAATATAAACCTTAGCTAGGACAGTTACACTTAAACCACTTGCCGATGATCTATAAGCCATTGAAATTTCAATAAAAAGACAAAAATCGGCCTAAATGACATTATTATGTTAATCAAATTTAAATTTTTGTGATATTAAAATAAGAACTTTATAAAATGAAAAATGCAACGAAAGTGAATTTTATAAAATTAAATTACTAAAAAATTAAATCATATTGAATAGAATAATAAAAAAGATTAGAACTGAAATATCTCTGAAAAAGCTGGGAATATATAAAAACATGAACTAAGAATGAGAACAGCTGTCAATATTGAAAGCAAACAATAAACAGATCAATAGTTAAATAATTAAAGTAGCAAAGAAATAATACAATATTTTGAGATAATAAACCGAAATATATGAGGTCCCCAAAATCGAAAACCATAAGGGGGACCAAGCACACTTTTCGAGGTGAAAAATTGGTGATTACAAAGATGAGTTAAGCTAAAAAATGTGGCAAAGTTGCTTCCGTCAAATTTAAAGGTCTTGAAATTCCTTTAATGACATCTAATCAAAGCAGAATGACCTCCAGTTTGTCACATCTAACACCGGGTTATTCTCGAATAAACCCTAAATCAGTACCGTGAATTCCTGTATGTATTGGGATAGCATTCCAAACTAAACTGCAAAACTCAACATTGGATCAGGCTTTCATACCTCCCAGTTATATCCAAAGGCACGGGTTCTTATTCAATAGGTGTAGACAGTAGGGCACTAGGCATAGGCTTTCTTAGACGTTGACCTAGACTTTGACCTTTGAATTACCCCCCCCCCCTTCCGGCACCAAATGTCCAAATGATCAATTGTCCCAATGATCAAATGTCCAGTGATCAATTGTCCCAATGATCAATTGTCCCAATGATCAAATGTCCAGTGATCAATTGTCCCAATGATCAATTGTCCAGTGATCAATTGTCCAGTGATAAATTGTCCCAGTGATCAAATGTCCCAGTGACCAAATGTCCCAGTGACCAAATGTCCCTGACTGTCCCACACTAAAAATCCCACACTGAAAATCTGGCACCAAAAATGACCGACCCCCCTTTTTTAAAAACCTCTCCATAGGTTCAAGCTTTCATACCTCCCAGTTATATCCAAAGGCACGGGTTCTTATTCAATAGGTGTAGACAGTAGGGCACTAGGCATAGGCTTTCTTAGACGTTGACCTAGACTTTGACCTTTGAATTACCCCCCCCCCTTCCGGCACCAAATGTCCAAATGATCAATTGTCCCAATGATCAAATGTCCAGTGATCAATTGTCCCAATGATCAATTGTCCCAATGATCAAATGTCCAGTGATCAATTGTCCCAATGATCAATTGTCCAGTGATCAATTGTCCAGTGATAAATTGTCCCAGTGATCAAATGTCCCAGTGACCAAATGTCCCAGTGACCAAATGTCCCTGACTGTCCCACACTAAAAATCCCACACTGAAAATCTGGCACCAAAAATGACCGACCCCCCTTTTTTAAAAACCTCTCCATAGGTTCAAGCTTTCATACCTCCCAGTTATATCCAAAGGCACGGGTTCTTATTCAATAGGTGTAGACAGTAGGGCACTAGGCATAGGCTTTCTTAGACGTTGACCTAGACTTTGACATTTGAATTACCCCCCCCCCCCTTCCGGCACCAAATGTCCAAATGATCAATTGTCCCAATGATCAAATGTCCAGTGATCAATTGTCCCAATGATCAATTGTCCCAATGATCAAATGTCCAGTGATCAATTGTCCCAATGATCAATTGTCCAGTGATCAATTGTCCAGTGATAAATTGTCCCAGTGATCAAATGTCCCAGTGACCAAATGTCCCAGTGACCAAATGTCCCTGACTGTCCCACACTAAAAATCCCACACTGAAAATCTGGCACCAAAAATGACCGACCCCCCTTTTTTAAAAACCTCTCCATAGGTTCAAGCTTTCATACCTCCCAGTTATATCCAAAGGCACGGGTTCTTATTCAATAGGTGTAGACAGTAGGGCACTAGGCATAGGCTTTCTTAGACGTTGACCTAGACTTTGACCTTTGAATTACCCCCCCCCCCTTCCGGCACCAAATGTCCAAATGATCAATTGTCCCAATGATCAAATGTCCAGTGATCAATTGTCCCAATGATCAATTGTCCCAATGATCAAATGTCCAGTGATCAATTGTCCCAATGATCAATTGTCCAGTGATAAATTGTCCCAGTGATCAAATGTCCCAGTGACCAAATGTCCCAGTGACCAAATGTCCCTGACTGTCCCACACTAAAAATCCCACACTGAAAATCTGGCACCAAAAATGACCGACCCCCCTTTTTTAAAAACCTCTCCATAGGTTCAAGCTTTCATACCTCCCAGTTATATCCAAAGGCACGGGTTCTTATTCAATAGGTGTAGACAGTAGGGCACTAGGCATAGGCTTTCTTAGACGTTGACCTAGACTTTGACCTTTGAATTACCCCCCCCCCCCTTCCGGCACCAAATGTCCAAATGATCAATTGTCCCAATGATCAAATGTCCAGTGATCAATTGTCCCAATGATCAATTGTCCCAATGATCAAATGTCCAGTGATCAATTGTCCCAATGATCAATTGTCCAGTGATCAATTGTCCAGTGATAAATTGTCCCAGTGATCAAATGTCCCAGTGACCAAATGTCCCAGTGACCAAATGTCCCTGACTGTCCCACACTAAAAATCCCACACTGAAAATCTGGCACCAAAAATGACCGACCCCCCTTTTTTAAAAACCTCTCCATAGGTTCAAGCTTTCATACCTCCCAGTTATATCCAAAGGCACGGGTTCTTATTCAATAGGTGTAGACAGTAGGGCACTAGGCATAGGCTTTCTTAGACGTTGACCTAGACTTTGACCTTTGAATTACCCCCCCCCCTTCCGGCACCAAATGTCCAAATGATCAATTGTCCCAATGATCAAATGTCCAGTGATCAATTGTCCCAATGATCAATTGTCCCAATGATCAAATGTCCAGTGATCAATTGTCCCAATGATCAATTGTCCAGTGATCAATTGTCCAGTGATAAATTGTCCCAGTGATCAAATGTCCCAGTGACCAAATGTCCCAGTGACCAAATGTCCCTGACTGTCCCACACTAAAAATCCCACACTGAAAATCTGGCACCAAAAATGACCGACCCCCCTTTTTTAAAAACCTCTCCATAGGTTCAAGCTTTCATACCTCCCAGTTATATCCAAAGGCACGGGTTCTTATTCAATAGGTGTAGACAGTAGGGCACTAGGCATAGGCTTTCTTAGACGTTGACCTAGACTTTGACCTTTGAATTACCCCCCCCCCTTCCGGCACCAAATGTCCAAATGATCAATTGTCCCAATGATCAAATGTCCAGTGATCAATTGTCCCAATGATCAATTGTCCCAATGATCAAATGTCCAGTGATCAATTGTCCCAATGATCAATTGTCCAGTGATCAATTGTCCAGTGATAAATTGTCCCAGTGATCAAATGTCCCAGTGACCAAATGTCCCAGTGACCAAATGTCCCTGACTGTCCCACACTAAAAATCCCACACTGAAAATCTGGCACCAAAAATGACCGACCCCCCTTTTTTAAAAACCTCTCCATAGGTTCAAGCTTTCATACCTCCCAGTTATATCCAAAGGCACGGGTTCTTATTCAATAGGTGTAGACAGTAGGGCACTAGGCATAGGCTTTCTTAGACGTTGACCTAGACTTTGACCTTTGAATTACCCCCCCCCCCTTCCGGCACCAAATGTCCAAATGATCAATTGTCCCAATGATCAAATGTCCAGTGATCAATTGTCCCAATGATCAATTGTCCCAATGATCAAATGTCCAGTGATCAATTGTCCCAATGATCAATTGTCCAGTGATCAATTGTCCAGTGATAAATTGTCCCAGTGATCAAATGTCCCAGTGACCAAATGTCCCAGTGACCAAATGTCCCTGACTGTCCCACACTAAAAATCCCACACTGAAAATCTGGCACCAAAAATGACCGACCCCCCTTTTTTAAAAACCTCTCCATAGGTTCAAGCTTTCATACCTCCCAGTTATATCCAAAGGCACGGGTTCTTATTCAATAGGTGTAGACAGTAGGGCACTAGGCATAGGCTTTCTTAGACGTTGACCTAGACTTTGACCTTTGAATTACCCCCCCCCCCCTTCCGGCACCAAATGTCCAAATGATCAATTGTCCCAATGATCAAATGTCCAGTGATCAATTGTCCCAATGATCAATTGTCCCAATGATCAAATGTCCAGTGATCAATTGTCCCAATGATCAATTGTCCAGTGATCAATTGTCCAGTGATAAATTGTCCCAGTGATCAAATGTCCCAGTGACCAAATGTCCCAGTGACCAAATGTCCCTGACTGTCCCACACTAAAAATCCCACACTGAAAATCTGGCACCAAAAATGACCGACCCCCCTTTTTTAAAAACCTCTCCATAGGTTCAAGCTTTCATACCTCCCAGTTATATCCAAAGGCACGGGTTCTTATTCAATAGGTGTAGACAGTAGGGCACTAGGCATAGGCTTTCTTAGACGTTGACCTAGACTTTGACCTTTGAATTACCCCCCCCCCCCCTTCCGGCACCAAATGTCCAAATGATCAATTGTCCCAATGATCAAATGTCCAGTGATCAATTGTCCCAATGATCAATTGTCCCAATGATCAAATGTCCAGTGATCAATTGTCCCAATGATCAATTGTCCAGTGATCAATTGTCCAGTGATAAATTGTCCCAGTGATCAAATGTCCCAGTGACCAAATGTCCCAGTGACCAAATGTCCCTGACTGTCCCACACTAAAAATCCCACACTGAAAATCTGGCACCAAAAATGACCGACCCCCCTTTTTTAAAAACCTCTCCATAGGTTCAAGCTTTCATACCTCCCAGTTATATCCAAAGGCACGGGTTCTTATTCAATAGGTGTAGACAGTAGGGCACTAGGCATAGGCTTTCTTAGACGTTGACCTAGACTTTGACCTTTGAATTACCCCCCCCCCCTTCCGGCACCAAATGTCCAAATGATCAATTGTCCCAATGATCAAATGTCCAGTGATCAATTGTCCCAATGATCAATTGTCCCAATGATCAAATGTCCAGTGATCAATTGTCCCAATGATCAATTGTCCAGTGATCAATTGTCCAGTGATAAATTGTCCCAGTGATCAAATGTCCCAGTGACCAAATGTCCCAGTGACCAAATGTCCCTGACTGTCCCACACTAAAAATCCCACACTGAAAATCTGGCACCAAAAATGACCGACCCCCCTTTTTTAAAAACCTCTCCATAGGTTCAAGCTTTCATACCTCCCAGTTATATCCAAAGGCACGGGTTCTTATTCAATAGGTGTAGACAGTAGGGCACTAGGCATAGGCTTTCTTAGACGTTGACCTAGACTTTGACCTTTGAATTACCCCCCCCCCCTTCCGGCACCAAATGTCCAAATGATCAATTGTCCCAATGATCAAATGTCCAGTGATCAATTGTCCCAATGATCAATTGTCCCAATGATCAAATGTCCAGTGATCAATTGTCCCAATGATCAATTGTCCAGTGATCAATTGTCCAGTGATAAAT